GGGATCTCGCGTTTGTTCCCCGTGCTCCAGCTGCCTCTTAGGTATTTAGGGCGTTAAGGCATCAATGCAGAGGGTAGCTCTCGCCAGGCCTCGTGACTTCAGTCGACCCTGGGTCGCCACTGTTGAGTGACCGCCAAAAGGTAGGTCGAAGGACAGTCTGCCAACGCATCTGAGGTCGAAGCACAAAAGCCGTTTCCTTCTGCGGAGACTTGCTTCCGGGTAGCACCTCGCCAGTTCGACCTCCGAAGCTCCGAAGCGCGCGCTGAAACGGTGGCGCCGCGCGGCATCTGGACCGGACGCTGGGCACTGTCTGCTTTGTGCAAGTGCCCAGCATAACTATGACACATCGGTACGCATCTGCAATCTGTTGAACATCTTCTTGCGCAAGGCACAAGAAACTCTCACTCCCAGCCGTCAAGCATCAGCGCGGACTTCCTCAACGCAAGCAGCTCGAAAAGGGCGGAAGGGCCTGTAGGGTGCCAAACAAAGTAGTCGCGCAGCCTCCCGCCAGCTGCATTGGTGGAGTATGTTGCCTTCTCGCGCGCGCACACACACACACACAGACAGAGCCTCGTGGGACCAGATTGCCCCTCTAAGTAAGCACTGGCCTCGCAGGCGAACTCCGACACAGGGGAGCTCGCACCTAGCGCTGCTGGCGCTTGGCGCTGTCGTGCAAAATGGATGTGTCTGCCGGGGTGCGTAAACAAAGGGGCGGTCGCTCTCGGGCAGAACACAACAAGGCAGTACGCCGTGCAGCACCGGGAAGAGCACCAAAGGTGTCATCGTCTGTGCCGTGACCAAGCTCCATGACCGCCTGGGGAGGCGCCACTGAAACCCAGTCGGGGCTCAAACTCTGCGCTGAGCACGAGGCTTCACTGGACCTTTCGTCGGCGCTCCAGCCTTTGTTTGAAAGTAATACGGCTGTGGGTCAAAATGCATCCAACACACCGGCAGCTCGCAAAACTCCAAGGCTTCGCGCACGAGACGGTGCTTGTTGAGTCGCCCTCCTCCTATTCAGAGCATCCCGAGCGATAACGAGGACAGAGAGATGAGACTAGGGCAAGACTTTGAAAAACACTTCTCCAGCCTCAATGGCCTCCTTGGAGAAGCAATCTATGCTGACTGATGTCTGGTCAGTTCTCACCTCAGAGTTGAAAAGCGGAGGAGAAGACGTTTGCTTGATGCTGAATGGCCACGAGTGTCACAGGCCTCTTCTTCTTCCACAGCCTGGTGAGGTCTTCGTACACTGGCCTGCCGGGTCAAGTCGGATTCTTCCAAGCCCTGCGCTCTCAGAGCAAGCCTTTGCGTGCTTTTGTGTGCTGCTACTGGCCTTCAGAGCATGACGACTGCACGTGTTCTTTGGCATCTCTAGTGCTAGTAATCATCATGACAAGCAGACAAACAAGAATAATGACTAAAATGCTTGTCGACTGTTCTGAACTGCCAAAGCCCAGGCTGGGAGAGGCCTCGAAAACACTCGAAGGCCTTCGGTCCCTCAAAAAACAATAGCAATAACAATACTGATTCCTAGTTGATATAAACAAAAGCTTCATAACAAGCAGCACTAATGAACAACAATCAAGATAAACAATTGCATGGTATTATAATTCAAATGACCGCTTTGAGGGGGCGCACCTGTCGACTCGCCGATGCGGCAGCGGCTGCCCGCATCTGGAGGTGGAGCATTTGCTCTCTCATCTGCCTCATGAAGCCACATGATGCGACGAATGACCGAGGCAAGGTACAGGCGATAATGCCCACCCTCCTACCGGGACCCTAAACATCCACAAAAACCCTGGATCCCCAACTCTGCTGAGCCAGGCCTTTCACCAGGACCTCCATGCGCAAGAAAGCCCAGGGCGGCAGGCTTCTGCCTGCTCTTTCGGGGTGAAAGTCCGTGAAATCCAGTGCCCGTAAAGAATGCACAAATGTTCTGAAGCTCCGACTGGCCTCAGCACACTTCTCCTCCTCTCAAGGGCCACGCCTGCAAAAGTCGCAGTGGCTCAAGGCCCTGAAGAAACGTGAGAGGAAGCAGTGTGAGTATTATGACCACTGTGAACGGTGAGCAGCGCAACGGGACCCTCACAGGGCATGCGCCTTCCTTTTGGGAGCGGCGGCGCCGTGTCATCTTGGCCTGGCATCACAACATCGCGGAGACACCCGAGCCCGCATTCAAGACCCAATTAGCCCCTAATGTATCCCTGTGCCCTTTGAGGTCGCTTGGGGAAGCGGCTAGTTCTGGGGAGGGGATCCAGCACCCGCAAACAGCATGCTCCCGTCCTCCCAGTAGGATGCAGGGCGGAGGATGTTCGGAAAGCTTGACAAAAAGCCGCAGAGCACTCTCCACTGCCTTGAGGGCGACTCGATATTCTGGAGCATCACAAGACCTGGACACGGCAACTAGCCTGAACCCAAGCAACAATAGCTTTGTACAGCAAAAACGGCAAACCGCTGGGTCTTCCCGCATTGGCTGAGCTGCTCTTGGGATCCTGGCAGCCGAAGCAACGTTGCTTAAATTTCTGAAATGCCAGTATGTGCAACAGCCATGCCTACGCGGCCCTGTAACTGGTAACTGGACCCCCCGGCCTCCGAAGGAAATGGGTGCAAAGAATAAATTAGTACAAGCACGTATTGCTTGAGATGTGCAAAAACTTCAGCGGCGGATGCTGCCCCCAAACATGGGGTCCCTGGAAGCAGGGCAGCATGGATTGCGAGTGAAAAGAATCGCAAGTGGGATTCGCGCGAGTGCACAGCAGCATTTTTCTCCGCAATCCCCCACAAAGCGTGCTGAAGATAGCTTGTGCTGCCTGTACTGCACTATCTTGCATTCTTCAGACCGCAAATAGCGTGCAGGCTTTGTGCATGCAAGTCCCCTCGCTGGCTAAGCAAGGTCTCCGGGTTCACCGAGCAGCTGGAGATAACAATGTACAATGCCTTCCCGTCCCAAGACTTTGAAGCTCTTGCGGTTTTTCCAGACTCCCGGAACCTCAGCGGGCCGAGCTTCTCTGCCCCGGTCTTCGCACGGTTCGGGGTGCTCGTTTCGCGCTGGCCCGGCTCTGCATTGCGATGCCCGGCGCGCCCGGGCGGCCCCGTCGAGCCTCGGGCAGCCAATGCCAAAGTGAAGCTTTTAGTCACACGCCGTGATCTCACAGAGAAGAGGCTTCATGATGTCCCAGCTTAAGCAAGAGTAGATTTGTGAAACTCCCCGAAAAAGCCCTAAAATCTCGCGTCCTACAGCAAGCTCCGTTGCAGAGAACTCGGGGCCCGGCTGCCTCCTCGAGCCAGGACAGGGAGGCGGGGAGCCGACTCCGAAGCCGCGAGCTGCGCTCCTGTCGGGCTCGGGAACTGGGTTCCCTAAACCCTATAACATCCTATAAGCCCTATAAGCCCTAAGCCCCTAAACCCTAAACCATAAAGAACCCTGAACGCTGAACCCTGAACCCTAAACCCTAACCCTAAACCCCAAACCCTTTGGGGTTGTTGTGGGCTCGGGGGTTCAGGAGCTCGGCGCAGCATCATCGTTGCACACCATGCCGCTTTCGGTCCTTGGAGTCCTGCTTTGGAATCGGGAGCGCAAGACCTGTGGCTGCAAAGCCGCAATAGGCCTTGTGCCATTATGACTACTGATATCAGTACTATTAGTAGGGCAGTATAGTGGTAGTCATACAAATATTTTGTCAGGATTGTTACTGCTGATAATCGAGTTGTTATTGCGGTAAAAAGAGGGCAAAGTACCGGGTTGTAGTTTCGTTGTCAGGCAACTGTTCTTGAATAATACGAATCATGGTGTTGTTTGTGTTGCCAGTTCTAATCTTTTCATTCATCACTTGGACTACGACTCACCGCCGCCATCAGCACTGCTATTCTTAGTGCTGTTGCTTTGTACCAGTAGTAAGTCTTGCATCTACTTCTTGCTAGTAGCATTATCGTTGCGTTGCTGGCTGCAAGGAAGGCAGAGGAAGGACGAAGGAGCTGCCTTCTTCCTCCAGCAAGGGCTCGGGGTCAGGATCATGTGCCTGAATGCTGCAGGATTTCAAACAGACGATCTTGGAATTCAAGAGATACAAGAGCAGGAAAAGGCCGCCCCGGCCTCCTCGTCCTCCTCCTTCTCCATCTGCTCTCGCAGGTTCTCGAGGGAAGTTTCCATGGCTGTCATCTCCATCATGAGACCAGAGATGCGCCTGAGGGTCCCAGCTACTTTGTGCCCACGGCGAAGCTGGTGTGCTGGCATGTGCTTGCAGCAGTTGCTCATGGCAGCTGATTGTAGCTCAGCCGTCTTGCAGCTGCTTCCATTGAGTCACGGACCGTAGCACCCTCTCCGGCGTCACTGCATTCACTGCGTCCCCAGATTGCCGGTGCTTCGGCGTCACCTGTAGGCGGGTGAGGCATTTTCGGAAGAGGCTGAGCACGTTGCGCTGCTCTGCTCGCCCACTGGAGCCCGCTGGCCTGTGGGCTGGCTTCCCGTGGCGAGCCTCAGCACACATCAAGGACGTTCAAGGACAGGATGTATGTTCTTGAAACTGCAGCCTGCGGTCCGTTCAGTGAGGCCCAAGCTCTCGGACCTGAGTGGACCAAGAACTGCAACAAGGGGCCATTGGCAGGAAAGAGCACCGCTCGCGGCAGGGAATGGCAACAGCAGGCACCGCCCCCCTGTTTTTTCCGTTTTGCATCGCCAGCTTGGCAGAGACCTCCCCCGTCCCCATCCCCCGGATTTGCAAGGATGAGCGCATCCTTGCCAGGCCCCTTCTGTCCTGGACCTTTCAAGAACCACTTTTTGGAGCGTAGCAGGTATCGACGCTTCCGTCAAGGCTGCCAAGGCTGCTCATTAACTGATGTTCTCATCAATGCTCGTGCCCGCTTTCGACCGCAGGGATTACAGCAACAGAGTCTTGAGGCAACTCCAATCCTGATTCCTCCTGTCAAAGCAAAGCCGTCGTTCATTAACTGCAGATCTCGATTCATCGGAGCTCTGCGGGCTCAAAGGTAGCAAACCTCGACTGTCAAATTTCGCAAACCCTTCTTTCGTTTGTGCAACTCTTGGGCGCTCTTGAGGGCGGCACCTTTCTGATGCTCTTACTCTCCGTGATGACCACAGTACCATCCTCTGCAACTTTTGCTGCACGTCGCGGCGGATCAAAAACAAAACCGAAAGGTTTGCTCAAGAGCAAAGGCATCCCGAGAACTCGAGCAGCTGCTTCCGATGTCCTTCTTGGTGGTCTTCCGCTTCTGCTCAGACATCACCTGACACACCGTGGGATGAGATGACTTGGCGAGTGCAAAGCTGAGCTCAAGACAACCCGCGCCTTGGTTTCCACGTGGGCGTTGTTGTGCGCCTAGACTCCAATGGATGTTTACGGAAAAAACATCGGAGACCCCCAAAAAGGGCTTTAGGGTCTCATGGGGTCCGAGAATTCCCTCGAGGTAGCACCGAATCCGTATTTGCAGCGAACTGGGCCGCAAACTCGAAACAGCCTTTGCTCCTTCACGGACTTCTTGGTCTCAGTGGTGCCATCAGGGCCTGGCACGTGCAAAACCTGGAAGAGAAGCCGCCGGGAAGTGGGGAAGGGAGGAAGCTCAAGAGCAGGACCCACTCATCGTGTTCCCAAGCACACAAACTTAACGGAACCAGGTGGAGAGCTTGTGCGCCTGATTTTGTGGACGACTGTTCCCGGGCATTCTGCACAGCCTGGCAACATCATGCGACCGCATGAAGCCGAGTCAAGCCAGCATTGGAAATGCCGTTTCATGCTAATCTTTGTCTACAGCTGATTTAAACGCCGTTTTCCGTGCAAAGCGCTCGACTGAAGTCCAGACTGTAGCAACAACAGATGCAAGCCTCAGCACGGACCTGCTATTTATACAGAATGCCTACCGATCCGAAGCCATTATCGTCCAAACCTCCCTCTTTTCTACTCTCATTTCTTCTTCATTTTTCTTTCTCTCTCTCCATCTCTATTTCTTTCTTTCTTGCTTTCATTGTTTCATTATTTCATTGCTTCATTATTTGTGTTTTCTTATTTGTTTGTTTTCTTTCTTTCTTGCTTTCTTTCGTTTGGGCTTGAAGGCCGAAGACCTCGCGCTTGCTCGCGCGCAGCTGTTTGTCTCCATTTCCCGCTACCCCTCGTATAATCCATCCCTATACATCATGTTTAGTTGGGGACCACCTGTTGTGCTGGGGCACTTTCCCCCCGCCTACGCATCGCCGGCACTGTCTCTCTTCGCTCTCTCTTTGCGCCTTTCCTTCCTTCAGGCATGCGTAGCACACAAGCAGGCTGCCCCGAGGGGCGCGTGGGCACGAGAGGCAGTGGACTGACACGGAGCCCACAAACCCAGACTCCAACACAAAAGTCCGTGCGAGCCTTGAGGCCACGACCGCCCCCTCGCGCCACCAGTGCATCCTGGGCTGGCTCCGAGGCCACCAGAGCCTCCGCAAAGGATGGAGAACACGTTGGGTTGGGGGTAGGGCTTAGTTTAAGGGCTGAGGGATTCAGGGTATAGGGTTTTAGGGAAGGTTTCCGGGTTTGGACTTGAGGGTTTGGGGCAACATGCATTGTGATACCCTGTGCAAATGCCTGCGCATTGCTGGTCTGTAATGCAAGTCACCGAGCATACCGACCGCCGTCGCCTGGTTCTCTTTCGAGGACTCGGCTGTGCCAACTTTCTGGCGCTTCTTGGGCGACTCCTGCCAGTCAGAGGTTGAAAAGGAGCTCTCAGACATCTCTGCAGATGCTCACAGCTCCTCGGGGCGTGACTTTCCGGAGATTTTCCGCGGAGGCATGGTCTTGAAAGCAGCTCCGGCAAAAGAGAGTGATCGACTGTCTCGAGCCAGATGAGTTTCGGCACTTTGAGCCTCATGCTTGATCTACCGGGGAATCTACCGCTGCATTGAGACAAGATTAGACACTCGGATGTCAGGACATCTCGGCCCACGGCAGGTCTTGACCTCGACTCGACGCAAGCAGAATTGGTAGCAGCAGGGCATGTAGCCCGTAGAGCAGGCATAATGACAGGAGCAGTAGCCGCCACAGTGTGTGCAGCTGACAGGGATGGCCGTCCACAGGTTCTGCTCGTCGAAGCTGAGAGCTGGGCGAGGAGACGTCTGCATTGAAACTTCTTGCAACCTTAGCACAGGGGCTTACGATGGGCTGCGAGCGCGTGGCCTTGGGTGTGGCAGGCTACCTGCACATGCTCGCTGTTTTCTTCCCTCATGTCTTTGGGCCATCCCTCCGCCAGGTTTAGACAGCACCGCTGCTGCCGGCTGCCGGTGGATTGCCGTGTGTTGAACCGGAAAATCTCGGCTGAGTCACCTTATGGTGACCTAGCCGCGCTGTGCGACAGCCGCTGCAGCGCCATCTCACACACATAGGCGTGTCGAAGTCTTGACCCTCAGATGTTCTTGTACTTCTCGATGGCCGACTTCACCTATCGAACTGCAAAGAAAAGGCGAAAATCCACCTCCTAGTGCAAGCCTTGGGCATGTGGTCATACTCTGTTCTACGTAACTGTGTCACCACTTAAATTCATGGATGGCTGCCCCACCTGCTCCTGCTGATCTGCGGGCACCATGCAAATGCACTTCTCGGTGGTTCCAACTGGTCCGCCGCAGCAAGGAAAGAAGGGCTTGATGGAGGCAGGTGCTTTCTCGGCCATCTCGTCCTCGATCTTCTTCTTGGCCTATGGGCGTCAAGGACAGCAGGGGTGAGAGCAGGGAGATCATGCAGGGAATCCACTGCAAGCGAAGCGAGCCTGCTCCTTCATGGCATCACCCATACCGCCCAACATGCTTGCCATCGTGCCGTAGAGGCTTCAGAAGGTCACCGGAGGGCCGCAAGGGGGTCTGAAGCTGCAGCGAGCTGTGGGCACATCGGAGAACATGCTCAAGGACTGCAGCAGCTGCGCGAAACTCTTGCCATTGAAGCGACACGAAAGGATCCGCAGGCGAACGTGCTGTTTCGACACCCCATGTGTTCAGATGTGCCTTCAGCGATTCTGTAAACAAGCCACTCCAACAGTCGCACAAGCAGTTCCCAAGAAGAACAGCAACCCCAAAGGATCGGTGCAGAAAATTGCCGGCATGGCCCTGTACATTGAGTGGAGCCGCGCATGCAGCCCTAAACTGGGCAGCTGATCTGTACTTCCGCCGGTCTCCATGGATGCACTAAGACAGTCACATGGGTCAGATGATGATGGAGAGGTCGTCTCGACTGCCTGCATGCTTCGGAAAGCAAAGTTGCAGCCGATATGCTGCTGTGAACTGTTCTATGCCAGAGACTCATACTGTACACAGTTCTTCAATGACTGGTCATCGGCCTGGCTTTAGGCTGTCAGTCATCATCCAGTCCAGCACCCGGGCAGGTGACAAAAGCTTGCCTCACGGGCCATACATCTCGCGCCTTCCAATACCGGATCAAAAACATGCCCACCGACTGCGAAGCCACTAACTCACCTCTTGAAACACCTCAAGCACAGCTGTTTAAGCGAAGCTTGGGGGCAGTAGTGAATGCCAGGGTAGATCCTGGCACTGAGGTCGGTCAGCATGGACGGGCTTTGCACCGCCATGCACGTGCTGTTCTCCTTGAGAGCAAGCCTTACAATCAGGCCATGCGCTCTTGTGGAGAGCTCTGCCGAACTGAAAGGAAAGTAGACCAAAACGTCTACTGGTATGCAGCCACGCAGCCGATCCTTGAATACCCACACAGGTCCGGCCACAGATGAGGAGTCTTCAAGGAAACACCAGCCACGACCCTTTGCCCGATAGCGTTGGAGAGTGCTGGAAGCTGCAAGCCTTATTTTGTACAATATTTGCCGGGAACCCTAAACCCTAAACCCTAAACCCGAAACCCTAAACCCTAACTCAGCCACAGGAGCTGCTCTGCCATCTCTACGGCCATGCGATTCATCGCCGCACAGGGAAGTCGGTCATGCTCGGGGTGTGTCTGGCGCGGGAGCAGTTCCGGCTACCAAGCGCGCTGAAAGGAACTTGCAAGACGGAAGCCTTCCAAAAGCTGAGAATTATATAGAATGACAGGGAATAAAATAGAAGAAAATAGAACAATCGGTTTGGCTATGCACTGTTGTCGTTTTTGGAAATCGGATTCTCCTTGAGCTGCTCGGCGACGCGATCTGCCGACAGCAGCTTGCAAGCGATCTCCTCGGCCGCGGTGATCTTGCCCGTGTTGCCTTGGGTGTGCGAAGGGCGTGGGGGCCATTTAGGGCTCATAAAGGGGCTTTAATAAACAACATTCATATAGCTTCAACACAACTTTAATATAACTTGAAAAAGCCATATAACTTGAATATAATGTAGATATAACTTTAACAGAAAGCATGGCTTGGGCCCTTTGCTTGGTGGGGGTTTGGGCCTCCTGCCATGGGGCTGATATCGGGATAGAAGTTTGTGTGGCTGCATGAATGGACCAGCAGTTTGCTCCCGTTCACCTCACATTCTGCGCATTCAATCCTGGACCCTTCACCCTGACACTCTTCGGCAATCGGACGTGCTTTGTTTCCTTAGGTTCCTGCGGTCCATGCTGGATGGCAGTGCTCCAAGTTGGGGGAGGAGATGTGGAAGCCATCTTCCACCTGACGGTACACCCTTTTTCGTCTTGTTGAGTCTGCAGAAACCAGCCTGCGCTTGGGCTTGACAAAAACCAGCAGGTGATTATCTGCGACGCCGATCCCAACACCAGGGGCCTGTACCTTTTTTATACTTCTCGAAGGCACCCCACATGGGCAAAAAGGCAGCTCAACGAAACAAGAGCGCCCGATTGTAAATGTCGACCAAGGAAAGCTGATCGTCCCACTGTGACGTGATCTGCTGCTGTCCCGCGTCTGTCTCTCTCTCTCTCTCGCCGGCTCTCTCGCTTTCTTTCCTTGGGCATGGGAGGGTTGTCCCTCCCATGCGCGACCTCTCTCGCTCTCTCGCTCTCGGCCCGTCCATGACTTCGTTTCGCTGATGAGCCTCGAGCTTCTGCGCATCGGCGGCACTGAGGCCGGCCAAGACACGTTGGGCTTGGCGGCAGAAAGGGCTGGTGCCTCGCACATGCACCAAGCACGGTCTCATGTGTTGCTCTGTTGTTCTAGGCAGGGTCCCTGTTTAGGGGATCTTCTTTATCACGAATGCCATACTTGAAAGTGCGATCTGAAAGTGGACCAACCTAGAGCAAGCCCCGTACCAAACGGGAGGCGACATGCAGGTGCCCAGTGAATGTCCTCACTTTGCGGTGGCAAGTCATGGAAGAGGTCGCCTTCCGAGCTCACATTGTGGTCCGTTGCTGTTCGCTCCAACTGCTGCGCCTTGCAGGAGGTGAATAAAGCGACTCCTGAAATCACGAGCTCCTTTTAATCTGCCTAGCCTTCAGGTACGGGGTCATGAGTTCTTCTGTCCACTCCAGCTGCCGCGTCAGAAGGCGAAGGGCCTTGGCAACGACCATCCATCCCTCTGATTCGGGTCCACTTTGAGCGCATGTTAAGGGCACAAAGCTGGCACAAAGGGCCCAGAGTCCCCCGCCGAAGCCCTGTCTCCCTCCGCTCCCTTCCAGTGAAGTGTGAGGAAGGCAGCGATGGTCTCGCCGATGGTGCCTTAGAAGGCTTAGAGTGGCAGAGAGCACGCGAACTCTGCAGGCAAACTCTGCCTCTCTGTTCTTTTTTTGGGGGGGGATGACGACTCTGCTCAGAAGTGTGACTCGATTTGTGAGTGAATTCTTCTGATCTACCACTGCAACACGGTCCCTCCCCTCCCACCAAGACGAGGACAAGGGCTGCTACCGTAATGCTGGGACAAGCTACGCGTCGCCTCACTTTGTGTGACCTGGCAGATGCCGGGACAGCATGTGGCGGACTGCCAGCCAAGAGAGCAAAGCAGTAAGCCCCCACACACACACACACACACACACACACACACACACACACACACACACACACACACACAGACACAGAGAGAGACAGAGTCTCACACACAGCCTCACACAGTGTCTCTCTCTCTCACACACACACACACGCACAAGGAGAGACCTCGGCTGGAAGGTCCCCGGGCACGTCAAAGCCGGGGCAGAAGTCAGAATGGTTCAACTTCGGCAGCACCTGGGCTCTAACCGTTGCAACCCATCCTGGAAGTTCTCAGAACCTCTCTTCCAAGCCACAATCACCGACTTGGAGGTGACTGCCTCCGATCCCTCCTGTTCCCTGAGCTGTAGAAATTGGTGCCACCATGTCGAGATCTTGCCCGGCCTCGCAAGGGCACCATGAAACGGATACGGATGAGCGGATGAGAAGCCTGGCAAGGCCGCCATCCAGCTCCACATTCAGGCTCAGGACCTTACACCAGGCTTGCCTAGGCTACTTTCTGCTCGACTCGAAGCAGCCAGGCTTGTGTTGCCTATCTTCTTGGTGTTGTTCTTACAGTCTCTTGGTTTTCAGAGGGTTCAGGGTTCAGGGCTAAGGCTTAGGGTTCAGGGCTTTGGGGTTTCCGGGTCTAGGATTGTGGGTTCTGTATATATATATATGTCAATATACGAGTATATACCTCTTCTTCTTGTTCTTCTCCACGCTTAGGAGGGCCCCCTCTCTCTCCCTCTCTCCCTCTCCCCCTCTCCCCCTCCCCCTCTCGCTCTCGCTCTCGCTCTCTCTCTCTCTCTCTGTCTCTCTCTCTCTCTCTCTCTCCTTCCTGCAGCAAAGCAGAACGGAGGGGAGAGAGCAGTTGGTTGCTTCCAAGATCGGCTGAGGACAAGGACTGGCACGGGATAGTGAATCAAGTCGTAATCTCCTCCGGGCTAGGACTATTGCTTAACCAACTCGGGCACCCAACAGGTTGAACTTCAATCGATGGTCCTGCTTCGTCGACATAGCCACCCATCACTACCAAACCAGCGTAGGGCAGGCCTTTGCTGGAGTTGTAGGCCTGGAATTGCCAGCACAGTATTCCCGACTCACATCGCTAGAGCCACTGAGCCCCAAACCGCGACCTCTTTCCAATTTCTGGGGGCTTTTGTCAACCCTGGCCTGGAAGAGAACATTCGCACAGGTGGCACCCAGGCTGTGCCCGGCAAGCCACAGGTCTTCGGAGTCTCGTCCGCGCTCCCAGCCCTGCTTGGCGGCAGCCGAGAGGGCCGCCTGAGTTGAGGGTTTATAGGGCAGCTTTGGGCGTTTCAAGAGTGGTCCACCACTGGTCACATCACGACTGCTCCTGTCCCGCCTCCACCGCCGAATGCAGGGGGGAGCAGAAGGACTTCGAAAAACAGCTGATGATGCACAGGTTTTGGAACACGGTCGGAATCACCTGAAGCCAAGCTACTGGCAAGACACCAAAAGTACCAAAAAAAGGCCCTTTGCACAATTTAAGAAAGCCCTTTGACCCGGGGCTGCGGCCAGCCAAAGGCTCAAGCCTTCCTGAGCAGCGCTGTCCTCCAAGGGGCCAATGGAGAAGTGCACTGAGTGTATTTGTGCTCTCGCTCTCTGCAACTGCTCTCTGCAACCGCTCTCGCATTCGCCTGGATGGCTTGGGCCGTCTGCTGGTAGTGGTGATTCGGCACTTTCCCTCCTGATATCAGAACCTGACAGGCGCAACCTAAATCCTTGCACCGCCGGCACCACTGTTGCCTTGCCCGCAGCCGAGGCTCCATCATCTTCTGTGCTTTGCCGGCCTCCCAGCACTGCACTGTGGCATCTGAACGCAGGCATGGTCATTGCGAGGCTCAGGAAAAGGGATCTCCTCGGAAGGTTTGCTGGGCTTCAGGACGATCGGCTCGTCGGCGTCCACCCCGACGCCCAGCGCGACCAGCGCCAGCAGCGCAAGTGGCCCTCCAAGGGCTCTCATGGCGATCGTCTGCGGGAAAAACGGGCTGCTTCAACGCGTGGAGTGGCTGGACAGATGTCGGTGGCTCTGTGTGTGAGGGCTGTGAAATTTTCTGGCTCGTGGGCCGAGAAATGCGGCATGCTGTTTTGTAACCCAACATGGTGCTGTAGCAACCAAGCATCCCGACTAACCATCCGCAAGACTTGTGTGGGCAGTGACCACACATCAAGGACCCTCACGGGTCACAGCTCTAGTGCCACTTGCACATTACTTCCCCCTGCCCTTGTCCCCCCTCCCCTCTTCCTTCACCTGTTTCTGCGCCCATCCCCTGCTCTTTTGCCACTGCCCCTGACCCGACCACGACGCCCTCTATCCTGATTTAGGGGTAGGGGTACTCCGAAGTGATCTGACTCGAGGGCTTTGGACTCATGTCTTTTCCGGCCCACGAGTTGCAACGTGAATACACGAAATGGGACTCGTTATATACACGCCCTGCTGCAGAACTGCAGCCTCGCATGAAAAAAAAGGTTCCAGAAGAGCCCGCCGGCGCCGAAAAGCACAAAAGGAATGCTGGGTGCTGTTTTCAGGGACAAAGAGCTCTTCAATCCTACATTCCAATCTCTCTGCTTGATTGTCGAGGCCACCCGGCGCAGAAGAGCATGTAGTGTTGGAACATGGCGGCGATGACTGCCAGCACGAAAAAGCCGAGGAAAGCTGGGTGCTGAGTTATGATGAAGCCCTCCAGGGATCCAGCTGCGAAGGAGCACTCAAGCCTCGTATGCGTCAGAGTGAAATTTATACGAAGGAGCAACTGCAGCAACTGAATGGCTACACCAGTCCAACCATACTGTCCCGTCTAACTGCTACTTGAGTTTGCGAGTGTGCGTACTACGACGATGACGACGACAACGACGACGACCACGACCACTACCACTACCACAACCACAACCACTACCAATACCACTACCACTACCACTACAACTACAACTACAACTACAACAACAACAACAACAACAACAACAACAACAACAACAACAACAACAACAACAACAACAACAACAACAACTACTACTACTACTACTACTACTACTACTACTACTACTACTACTACTACTACTACTACTACTACTACTACTACCACTACCACTACCACTACTACTACTACTACTACTACTACTACTACTACTACTACTACTACTACTACTACTACTACTACTACTACTACTACTACTACTACTACTACTACTACTACTACTACTACTACTACTACTACTACTACTACTACTACTACTAACTACTACTACTAACTACTACTACTAACTACTACTACTTCTACTACTACTACTACTACTACTACTACTACTACTACTACTACTACTACTACTACTACTACTACTACTACTACTGATGACTATAACTAGTAATAGTAGTAGTAGTAGTAGTAGTAGTAGTAGTAGTAGTAGTAGTAGTAGGAGTAGTAGTAGTAGTAGTAGCACTACTACTACTACTACTACTACTACTACTACTACTACTACTACTACTACTACTACTACTACTACTACTACTACTACTACTACACTACTACTACTACTACTACTACTACTACTACTACTACTACTACTACTACTACTACTACTACTACTACTACAACTACTCCTACTACTGCTACTACTGCTGCTACTGCTACTGCTACGGCTACGGCTACTGCTACTGCTACGTCTACGGCTACTGCTACGGCTACTGCTACGAATACTGATACTCTTACTTCTGCCACCGCGACTATCACTAGCACTACCACTGCTACTGTTTCTGCCGCGACTAACACCACCAGCACGACCACGACCGCGACCACGATAAGAAGAAAACAAAGAGCCATAACATTAACAGTACGAATAACAATAAGAATGAGAGTTCAATTCTAACAGAGGACACCAAAGCAGGTCGGTACTTGAAGATTCTTCGGCTAAGGTTCTAAGCCGGAACCCATGGAGGAAGGTTTAAGCCGCAAGAGCCAAGAAGCTGCACAACACTGAAGGTCAGGCATCCGCAGACGCATGCTACGCCAGCCCGCAAAAAGCCGCGGTCGAAGCTCTCGTCGAGATACTTGACACACCGGAACAAACAGGGAAATGCTGCCTTGGGTCGGAGTCCGAGAAAAGACGACTACCCGCGGGGTACAGGTCTAGGGCTTCCAGACTGCAAAGAGAACTATGATCAACGTCATGTTCGTGAGAGCAATGGCAATGGGAACAAGCATACGATAGATTGGCAAATGAAGCGAAAGGATCACCTGTCAGAAGCCCAGATGCAGGGTACACCAACGAGACGAAGAGGTTTTCAGTGAAGCTCACGGCAAAATACTCGAGGTCAGATCGAAAGCCAAGAGCGTGAAGCGCAGGCTTTTGGACCCAAGTAACAGGAGCGAGAGCCAACACCCAGGGGAACATGGCCAGCAGACAGACCTGAGTGCTCCGAAGCGCCTATCGACGAAGGTTTAAGCTTTTTGTGCGTTACAAGGGAGAAAGCAAGTGCGAAAGGATCCTGCGAAATTAGTGGCAAGACACAGCATAAGGTATGTCGGTCGCGTCGCCAAGGTCTTCCACAACTGCATCACGCAGTGGACCCTGCACATAGATGTTGAATTCTTCCAGGCAGTCTTCATGGTTCGCAAAGCCCGTCACAGAGCGCACGGCAAGCCGAGCTGAAGACGTCAACGCCAAATCCATGAGCTCCTCGCAGTCAAAGTACTTCCGAGTTTAGGTGGCGAAACTTGTCAACGCCCCAGAGTCTGAAACTTGGATGCGCGGCCGAACTATTCACGTCGAAGCCTTTTAGTTGCGGATCTCTCATGAATGGATAAGTACTCCTAACTGGGCAGTCGGAAGCTTGGAGATTCCGTCTCGTCGTCTTCCGCTTCCGGGTTTGAGGTTTACCTGTGGGCTTTCGGGTTTACAGGCGTGCTCCTGCCGCTCGTCGTCGCCTTCGCTTGACTTCTCCACCTAGGATTTTGGCCCGGGAACCATCGGCACGAAGAATGGAAATATCGAACGTGAGAACCTTAAGACAACGACCTCCGAAACCAGAGGCCAATCCCAACTGTGAACATAATAGACTCCTTGCACGTCTCTAACCGACATCGGGTCTAAAGCGGCGGCGACCTTGACAGACTCGGCCACTTCGATCGGCACAGCGATGATGGGATCCTCCAGCCCGTCGAAGAGCTCCGCCACTTGGGCCTGCAACTGGAGTCTAAGCTGCATTGCATGGCGCTTCTGCCTTTCATTCGGTGCTACGGATGCTTGCTCTCTGTGTAACAGTTGTTGAGGCTTGTTTATGAGGCTTGTTTATGGGCCAAACGGCCAAACTAATGAGGAACTGGGGTCATCCAGGCCTTTCGTCGGTGCACCATGCAGGCAACATGTGCTCCGAAATATGCAATAATCACTATCGAAGCATAGGGGGTTTTGCAACAATACTCCATGACATGTAGTGAAGATTTCGCTGTATAAAGCCGATACTCTCAGAAACAGCATCCTCGATGGAACCATTGAGCATTTTTTATATACCAAATACCTTGAGAAACCTCCAGTCCAACTCCCATGGTAATTACGCATGGGTGACCACCATGGCCTGAATCGGGCCTGCAACATGATAGAAGGGCTTGAACTACAGGCTGTGTGACATGGCTTCTGGGAATAGTTTCGCAAGCTCTTGTAAAAGGCTCAATTTGAAATGTGTTGATAATTCTTCGTGCTCTGGTGTGGGGATATATATATATATATATATATTCATACATACATATATATATGCACGTATCAGTGCAGAAAGAATGAGAGAAGTTCTTCATGCTCTTATAGTAAGGGTAGGCTTGCAAGCATTGGACGTCCAGTGCCTCGATGAACAAACGGTCCTGCTCCACAGCACATTTGGCATTTCGTACATCGAAAGACGCCATGCTTTCCAACATATCTCTGTGTCCGTCCAACTTCTTCTGGAAGCAGAAAAGACCAACCAGCATGGGTGGCGCACAGAAGAGCACGTAAGCTTGACTTTGCAGCACATACTCAGATATTCGATGTAGCCCGAATGCAAACGGAGTGCCATCAACTCCTTGGAACTTGCTAGTGGCATTCACGGTATTGACGACGAAGCCGGGATCAAACTCAGTGAAGACAGCGACGAGCCGAGCTGAGACGTAAGAGAGCAGCATCGTCGTCAGCAACCACGGAGTGAGCCAGAGGGGCGCGAGACGGAGATTCTTGAGACCGTGGCTTTTCACGAAGATCGACAGCTCAAAGTTGCACCAGAGCCTTGCTGCTTGTAGGACCACAGAGCGCTTAAGATTTCAAGAAACATGCCAGTGCACTTTCCGGAGGTGGGCCCTTCTTCACAACTGAACTGAAACTTTGATAAACTTCTTACCGCGAACCGCTCAAACTGGGCATGAAGTTTTGAGGAATCGGAAACAAGTAGCCGTTCGCAGTATGACTTGTCCCAGAAGACGAGCAAATCCGACGAGTTTGCCACAATTGTGGGCAGGGCTGCGATCCCTTCAGCCTTCGTTGTCTCATCGGTTTGGTCCACGCAGAGCCTGTCCACCCAGAAGCGAGGACCCAAAACTCCGCAAGTGAGGTGCTGCCCAAAGAAGAAGACCAAGAAGAAGACAAGAATTGGGAAATCCAGCAGGAACCAGAACACGATGTGGATGTTCACGTTGGGACAAACCAGCATGAAGCTTTCGGAAAGCACCACAGATGCTAGCATTGCCTTTGTCGCCAAGCCAAGGTTCCTGGATGTTGCAGGGTTTAGGGTTTAGGGTTTAGGGTACAACGCTTGTTTCAGTTCATACCCGGATGAAATGTCTTCCTTAAAAGAGCCCCGGTGCAGAAAGTAGCACACGGCCAAGTACTTTTCCCATCGGCCAGACGACCAGGAATGGCTGATGAAAACATCCACATCCTTGACCTTAGACCACTGTGTGTGCTGGTTTTGTCAACCAGATTAATCTTACCACGCAGCAAATCTCAGCTTGCAAATGCCGGGCTTGCTCCGCAAGGTTTTGGCCCTGCCAATCCCGAGACTTAGTTTCTATTGAAAGCTTTGGGGCTTAGCATCGAGGGATCTTGCCACCTTTAACCTCATCGCCATATTCTTACTAGCCGATAAGGATGGCATTCCACTGCAGAAACGGTGTGGTCCCCAGCTGACTAGCAGACCTTGGCATCATCTCCTGCTTCCTGCTGCTAGGTCTTAAACGGAGTTTTGGGGTGTAGGAGATTCTTGGGGTCCTTTTGTTTCCGTCAGGGCTTCAGGGAGCACCTTGTATCTTTGCTCGTCGGCATTTCAAGGGCGAGTCGCTGGGGTAGTGCTCCGGAAGTCTCCGATGCTCTCGGTATCGAAGATCTTCCTAGCAGAGTTGATTTGGGGTTTAACTCTGGCAGGGTTCAAGGCTGAGTGGGGGACCTACAAATCTACGATGCACCGAAATCCTGAAAGGTAAGGTTCTTGAAGGTTCTATAAGGCCCAAGGATGCAAGAAAACGCGCACTCCAGTCCGAGATGCCCCAAACCTGACAGCACCCCCACGCTGGAAGCAGCACGAAAAATCCCGCCGTGGCACAGTTCACTGGCCCGGGCCTTCCATCGTCGCATGCGGGTCTCCCAAATATGGCTAACCCCAGCCCCGACTTTGGGGGCTTCGGGTTGAAGGCTCGAGGCCTCAAACACCTACAGTTCAAACAGTTGATTGGCATGATGTCGACCCTATATGCACACGATGTGGAAATCCATGGCAGAGGACACAGACGACAGCAACAGCAAGAACAGAGACTTGGGCCAACACGTGCCCTTGACTTCAGTCACCTGGATTCGTCGCACTTCTGCTCTCAGCTATGGCTATTACTCTCGTTCGAGCAATCTTCAAACTCTTCCATGCGCCCCCCCTCACTGTGCCTGGTCAGGGATGCATATGTCGAAAGTATGCAGGTACCGGCGCGACGCCTGACAGTCACTTGGTAGCTCAGCAACGCTCAGCTTCGATGGTGGTTCTTCGTCACGGCACGCCTGCGGAGGCGTCATTGACAGCCACAAAGACGCACCATGCAAGGAGCCATCAGGATCCAGCCACACCTGCACATGGGCGCCACCAAAGGCAAAGCTGTTGCTATTTATCGCCCGTCACGTGCCGTAAACCGCTCTACAAGTACAATGCAAAAGCAGGTCAGCTCTCATGGGCTGCTTTTGCAACGCGATGATGCCGTCTCAGGGCCATTGGTCATAGTAGACCCGCAGCATGGTCTCTCTGTCTCGCTGGTGGCAGTGTGCCTGGGTCGGAGGCACTCACGGGCACCCTCTGCAACAGTTGCATCACGAGCACAGGCTTCCCACAGCCGGTCAGTGAAAAATCCCAATTTGGGCCCCACGCTGAGGCTTGCTGGCTCCAGGTCGAGGCCTTGCACAACTCTTCGGCCACCCAAAACCCTGAACGCCCCCAAACTATGGAACTATTCGCCCAAAATGCGTCAAAAGTCATCTCTGAGATGAGGGGCGGGGTCGAAGTTGGCGCTGAGAAGCGCCACGCGGAGCACTTTCCATTTGTTGTGACCCGCGCGCATCAGCTGCTTGGATCGCATGGCCTCGAAATTGCTAGGTGGAGGTTCTGGAGCATGTCTGTGCGTCCTCTGCGGCTCAATTCTTGTGCCAGGGCGCGTAGTCAGCTTCCTTGAGTCAAAACATGGACCACGGTTATTACATCTGAAGCAGAGCAGCCACCACACTTGCCAACCCAGGTAAGCCAAGAGGCCGTCATCGTTCCGTTCTTCACTTTGTCTTTCCAAGGCTTGAGGTGAGATGCGACACGAAAAGCCATGCAAGAGTCCTCTGGCAAGACTATGCAGCGGGGAGCATGTGGAAGCCTTGCATGCATGCCACCGCCCAGATACCGACGCGCGCTGTCGCAGATTCCATGACTATTCAATGTATGGCGCATTGCGGCGCGGAAACCCAACAGAAGAGTCGCATCTCATGCCCGGAACGGACACATCCCGACGATTCTATAGCAATCGGTGGCGGATACTAGGCACAGCACCTGATCACAAATGTCGTAGGAGTCCTCCGCGGGCAGTCCGAAAGAGGCTGCATCCTCCATCGACCAAAAGTACTCCTGGCGATGATAGTTGTACCTTGGGCGGCTGTGCAGCATGGAAGGTATCACTTATGTTGAGAACTTAAGCCAACACATGCCTTTGACTCAGAAGTTCATCTCGAAGTTCTGAGCTTCGCAATTCAAACGCCACACTGCCTGATGCAATACTGAATCAACCCAAGTCACAAGAAAATCGGCAAGCTGCTCTGCGGACCTCAGCTGACATCGTCTGGCAACGGCTGGCGGCACGGGGCGGCAATGCATGAAAAATTGGGTGCTTTAGCTGAGTCACACTCCCCTTCTGCCAGGTACCACGCATAGCGTGCATGCAGCAGCGCAGCATCTTCTGCCAATGTGCGCCACTTCTGGTAGGCCACCTCGAAGGACGACTCCTGCACAGCTTTCCTCATGCAAACAGCTCAGGAATGTTCAGTGCTAAAAGCACACCGGCCGTTCAGAGTCCTGAAAGCGGCTCTGGATGAACAGGCGAAAGTTCTGTAAGTGAGCCGGCCGCACAAGCATTGGATAGGTGTCCATGAACTCACCCTCAGATCGGTAGCTAACGCTATGCAACCTCGCTCACAAGCAACGATAAGTGACTATAAGACGAGAAGTCAGCTGTCAGAGTATGTGATCCGTTCTGAAACCTCGGCCAGCCGCAATCCAATCCATTCCAACTGACATCGTGCCAACGGAGTAGACGGGTTCACGGCGCGCATGAAGCACCGGCCGCCCTCCCTGGAACAGAAGGTCCGGAATGCGGTGCGTGTGCAGTATCACCTCTACAGGGGTACTGGCAAGGGTACTGCAAGAGTCGTGCTTCCCATAAAATCAGCTCTCTAAGGTTGCCACGTCTGCATCGAACCATGCGATCCAGTCTGGCACCCCATGCGTGCGGGCGATGTACCTGAGTCTACTGCAAGCGCAATGCAGGCAGGTCGATGGTTCGAGCCGAACCACGTGACGTTGAAAAAGCGCTTGCAGGGCAAGCTGCTGATCCGAGAGCAAGTAGTGGTACTGAAGTAGCTGCTCTTTGTATCGACGGCTTACTGCCCTCCCGCTCCACTCGATGGAGTCCACCCAAAGTGACTTCTTGCGATCAATCGGGGGCACAACAAGGCACTCGGCCCGGCCCTGCAGCTCCGAACAGAGCTCCGAGTCTTCCGGCCCCACGTCGACGGCCACGAACACGGTGGAGTTCCACTCTTTCGGCCAGAAGAGCTCCACCGAACTGAGGAATGGGAGGAGGACAAACCTGTCCTGGAATCCGCACTCAAGGTCAAACACGAAAACGTGTACTTTCTGCTACTTTCTCGCACTTACTCCCTTCACGAAAAGGTGCCTTGTGGTAAGTCTGCAGGAAGATGTGGACCACTCGGTGGACGGCTGTGCTCGCGGTGGGTGTGCTGGGAAGGGGCGGCGCAGCCACGGCGATCCGGACACCTGGAGAGGAAGGGAACCACACCAACCACACACAAAACCCCAAGACATCACAAGACCTCCCTCAAACCCCAAGCGCCCCAAGCATGCCCAAGACCCCGAATCACTCCGAACCCACACCACACGGTTAGCACAGCTCAGCTTCCTTGCTCGTGGCTTCCTTTGCGGCCAGGGAGCCCCGGAAGGGGGCGCAGCAGCGGCCCCAGAGCTCATCCTTGCAGCGGAAGGGAGGGGGGCTTTCCGACTTTTTCGTACGGTTGTCCATGATCAGGGTTACCTGTCAAGCTTTTTTTGGTTTTTCAACACCCCAGATAGATGCGCAAGCACTCCCGGCGAAGAGACAAAAGATGAGCCCTGACCACACTCTGCGATCGAGGCCATTTACAAAACAGCTATCTCCGCCGAGTCTCCGCAAGAGTGCCATCGCCAAAGCACCACGTGCGCCGCTCTTTCGGGAGCCGAGCATAGCAACAAAGCTGAGGCAAATAACCCCCGCCCCAGCACAAGGACTTGCTCCTTAGCACCACTCACTCAGCTAAGCATAGCTGAACTGAACGATTCTACAATGATTGTACAAGTCACATGCCAGTCAGTCGGGGTGCGGATCTGCCTCAAAAGCCTGCTGGTAAAGGAAAGTGCCCAGGGTCCAGAGATTCATGGGCGGGTGACGGAGCTTGTCGACCTGCTCAAGAACATTCAAGAACTTTCTGGGCTTACATGGTACGGTTGGTTCGATTTCGGAAGAGAATTACCTACGGAAGCATGAGTAAGTACTAATTACCAATTACCACTTCATGATCTCTTCGCTTTGTCAGCAACGAAGCGCCTTCATGCTGAGATCGGCCGGGAAAAAGGCCGTCTCGAGGGGGCGCACCGTTGAGCGATCCAACTGCAGCTGCTCTTCCACATGCCGCGGGTCCTCCGCCCAGCACAGCAATGTTTTAGCGCTTAGGGTTTACAGTTCCTGTCCGCTACTTTGTGCCTAAGCCTTCACGGCCAACATCCTCTGCGAACTCGGTGAAGATAGGCGCGAAGCCCCCGCTGTGGTTGAAGAAGAATTGCCTGACCCGTCTGACTTGTCTGACAGTCCTCTCAAGACAATGGTATGCATGCCGCATGCCCCACAGCCTTTAAAGCAAGTACCAGAATAGCATATCACGCAAAGACTGCTGGCATCCCAAGGAACCCCGTGGCCTCCCGCCGGGCAAGGTGCGGGCCTCCATTTGGCCCAAGCCCCCGTGCCTTCTGGTGACAGGGTGGGTCACTGGACACTTTGGGAGGGGCCTATGGCATCCTATGGCCACGCGTCGAGTTGCCAAAGGGCCCGGGGGAGTTCCTGGACCCGATACGTCGCGACAACGTCCCGGCGGCAGCTGGCCAGGTGCCGCTGGAGGGCGGCACAGCGCAGGCTCCTGCTGGGGGCTGAGCATCAGGCTAGGCCAACAGCAGTCCCTCTTTTAAGCCTGAAGACTGGCCCTATAGGCCTCAATGGCTTGCCCGGACGGCAGAGTGACCACAGCCCAGATGGCCCCACATGAAAGAACACCAACAGGTGCCTGCCGGGCGGCCGTAAAGAATCCTAAAGCATCCTAACGCATCGCAAAGTCCAACACGTGTGGAAAATCAGCGGTCCATAAAACTTGTCAAGCCAGGGTGCAGAGCCAGCTGGTTGATGTAGACGTGGTGCCCATTGTGCATGCATGGTAGGCCCTCGTAGCGTCCAGTAACTGCTGCGACGTCGTTGTCGACGGAGGAGGCTTTCAAACGGATGCTAAGAAGGCCGACCATCTATTGCGCTGGCTCACTCTGGCTCATCAACCTGCCCGTCGCCCCACTCGAAATCGAGGGGGGCTGGGTCAGGTTCCTGCTCAACAGGCTCTGATTTGGAAACCGCATCTTCCTCCATGGCAAAGAGCAACATGTACCTCGAATGGTCAAGACATCACAGTCAAACTCAGTCTACTTTCACCTGCACAATGCGCAGCGGTCTTCCATGGTCGTGCACTGGCAACACTAAGGTATAGAGGTGCGGCCGGGGACACGAGACCAAACCATCCAGGTGCATGTAGATCTCCGCATCAGTGAGAAGGGCCGACATGGTTTATCAAGTGGCGAAGCAGCGAAGCTGAGAGAGGGAGAACAATCGAGCCTCAAAGGATGCGCCAACTGCCCCAAGGGAGCTCAACTTCAGAGGCAGAGTCTGAGCCCTCAAATGAGTCGCGCATGCTGCGCTCCTGCTCCCATGTAGCAGGTTTTTATTTTGTGGCTCGACGGCGCATGGTTCCACCGCTCCAGACCGCATCCCAACCATGGTGTTCCAACATATCGCTCAAGCCCTAAACAGGTGCTGGATTTCCGAGATATCAATAGTAATGCTATCTGATCTGTGGAACAACGCTCCAGAAGGGTCTAAGAGTCTAAGACCGCTCTGTTTAGTGGTTACCTGGCAGTCCTTTGGGGATTGGTCCGAAACCAAAACCTAATCGGCTGAGCTCTAGCGCCTCTCTTTGCGGGCGTGGCGCTTGCATCCTGTCTTAGTCTGGCCAGCATGGCCGAGCGGCCGAGCTAGCGGCTCTCCCCGTCCGGGTTGACAGCTAGCTTAGCCGAATTCGGCGGGCAAATGTCCACAGGCATCCGGGTAGCTATGCAAGGGCCACTATGTCTCACGACGCGGGAACCTGAAACTTGCCCTATCAAGCCCGGAGCCTGCAAGTTTCTGACCCTATGCATAAATTGCCAAGAGAGCTAGAAAACAGGAAATACTCACGCCAGCCGTGTTCTTTGCTAGGACCACACATTCAGCCCCACAAGCTTCACCGCTGACGGATCAAACGTTAAAAAGGCACGGTACGCGTAAAGCCGTATGTACAGCCGCAACCGGAAACAGCGGATGTAAAGGCTCAAAAGCGATGCCTCGATTCTCTGTACATCTCCGGCCCTAAGCTGGAAAGAGAGATCTTGGAGCTTGCAAGTCTGAACTTGAATGTCAAGCCTCTCCAAGGCCTGGCGCTTTGAAACAACAGGATAAGCTTATAATTTTGAAAGATGTTGCAGGACTATTTCCCGCTTGCCGCTCTTGGACTTCGAGTTGAGGTGTTGCGCAGATTCTCTTAAACCTTCGCGAGATTAGAGGCTTCCGGCAACCAGCTTGGCAAAGTTGCCGTTCAGGCTGACCAGCTCATCGTAGGTGCCGGACTCAACGACCCGGCCGCCGGACAGAACGAAGATGTTGTCTGCGTTCCGGATGGTGCAAAGCCGGTGGGCCACTGTGATCGTCGTCTTGCCCACCCTTGCCTCCTGCATGGCCTGCTGCACCATAAGCAGCCCAGATCATGCATGCGCTGCATATCCATAGAAACATCGCCACAAAGAGCATCCTCGAACAAGTCTCTTTTTCTCTCTCAGAGTCTATGCGACTTCCTATGCTGCCAGGCACAGGAGCAGGGCGTCATGTTGATGACGGCAACACACGTGATGAGTCTGTGCATAGTCACGGCGCATCATCAAACACAACGGACGTGACGAACCGGTGGCCGTCCGGCCCTCTGTACATCTCCTCTGCACGAAACTGCTCTACGGTCATATTGTAGGTCTCGTGGAACAAAGCTACAAGATACCCTTTGGCATCTGACTTGTAGACCTCGGATTCTTCTAGACACAGTGCCAGCTTTCGCTGCTTCATGACGCCATGGATGTGTTGTTCTGCTCTCTTGGCCGGCCACTCCGTGTGGGAAACGCCCATCATGAGGACGTCGCAGATGACAAAGCCATGCTCTTGCCAGCGTGCCTGCTGGTGATAATCCTCAATCCTGATGGGGAGTCGGCTGCCGCAGGTCCGACCAACCTTGTAGAAGACGGCGCGGTCCTTGTCAACCAATGTCAGCATGTAGTAGACGGCAAAGCCTTCGTAGCCTTGGTCTTCCAGGCACACGGTCAACATGTCTTTCGCGCATGTCCAGTCTCCAAATGGGGTAAGTCCGGCATGAACTTGTCGGAGCTGCTTGCCCTATGCCCCTTGGCCATGTCATCCAGGACCTTCTTCTGCACGGCATCTTGGTAGACCGTAAGCTGACTCCCATCACACCCGCCTCCTGCAGGCTCACCACGGGTTTGCCCACAATCCGTCTTCGCTGAGGATGGCGAGTGGTCCTGAGAGTCATCTTCAGTCTTCTTCGAGAGCCTCTCCACGGTCGGCATGCTAGGCACTTCCAGGGAGAAAGGAATCGAAAACATAACTCAAGAGCGAAAGCTTGAGATACAAACAGCTCCTGGTATTTTCAGCACTCAAAAGTAATGAGGTTCCCTGCAGCAGCAGCCCAGATCATGCATGCGCTGGAGCCCCTCCTGCATGGCCTGCTGCTCAAGAACAGAGTCCAAGGCCGAAGTCGCTTCGTCCAGCAACAAGAACCTTTACTGAACTTCTGGAACTCTAGCAAAAATCACACATTCTTGTCTGTTCTAGGACTATAGTACCCCAAAATTTAGAACTTCTTCCCAAGAATCCCTAAGGAACTGGGGTTGCCGGAGCAGAGCCCTGGCAAGGGCGCAACGCTGCTTCTGGCCCCCGGAGAGCTTCTCACCACGGAGGCCCACCCGATCCGTCCACTCCACGGCGCCCGTCAAGACGTAGTCCTCGTTCATGGCTGGGATCATATTCAAAATGTTAAATTTATATTCCTACTTATTGGGTTTAAGTACCCTTAAGAATCAAAAATGTTACCCAACTATGACAAAGAATCCATGTGTGCGGTTTTTGCTACTTCCAGCACCTGGGCCTCCGATGCCTCGGGGGAGCCATACCTTACATTCTCCTTCAGGGAGATGTCGAAGAGAACAGGCTCCTGGCTGACCATGCCCACCTGACGGCGCCACCAGGCCACATTGAAGTTCCGCAGGTCTGCACCGTCTGCACCTCCGATGCAGATGGAGCCTCCTTGGGGGTCGTAGAAGCGCTGTAGCAGTTGGATCACTGTGGACTTGCCGCTGCCGGAGGAACCCACCAAGGCAACAGACTGGCCCATCTGGATGGTGAAACTGAGAGCATTCAGCACGCGGACCTCGGGAGGAGAGATGAGGCGAGAATGCGAGCAGCAGCGTCAGTGGAATACATGCGTAGGCGGAAAAAGCAACTACCGGTTTCTAATGCTTGTGGTACCATGTGTATGCCAAGGCTGTCTGCCGCTCGGGCCGTTAGGAAACCCGATTTTTTCCTCTGCGCTTCATCAACCCCTATCCGATCCCCTCAGGCCCTCAACGCATAGCCCAGACCTCCGGGCGGTGCGGGTACCAGAAGCACACGTCGCGGAGCTCGATGGACCCGTCCCCAAGGTTTTCGATATGCCCTTCAGGATGTGTGGCGTCGATCTTGGAAGAGTGGTCAATCAGGCGGAAGACTTCTGCTGCCGCCATCCGCCCGGAGGCAGCATCTGGAATATGTTGCACAATCGCAGTGACCGACATCACTGCAAAGACCACGCAGAAGAGACTCTGGAGCACCTCACGGGCCTGAAAGCCCCAGTACTGAATGCAAACGGCGCTCATCCAGAAACCTGCCAGGAAGATCAGCTGCACAAGGCCCAAGTTCAGACCCAGGGAAAGACCGAGCCTCCACGACTTCGCAGAGTTGAGCTCCGTCACCTTCTCCAAAGACTCATTCACGATTCCCAAAGTTTTCTCTTCAGCCCCCAGGGCCTTCACGGTGCGAATGGACGTGACCGCCTCGGAGGTGGCTTGGCCGGCCTTGCCATAGGCCTCCATCCTGGCAGGGTCCATCCTTGCCACGCAGCCGGCCACCACCAGGGCCAGTGCGCCACAGATCGGCATGAGGCCGCAGAGGACCAAGGAGAGCTCCCAGCAGCCGAAGAGGCTGAAGCCAATACTGAGGATGCAGGTGAACATGGCTGCAAAGGAGTTTCCGAGCTGGATGCCTAGCATCTGTCCCACCCGGTTCATCTGACTTTGCAAGGACACGAGAATGCTGGACGTTTGATTCTCAGGCGCATCAAAGAAGGACATGTCCATGCGGACGGTGCTGGTGAAAGCTTCCTTGCGCAGGATCATGCACAAAGTCTCCTGCACGTAGGCAAAGAACCAGTTCTGACTAAGCACCGCAAGTCCGGAGACCAAGCCGACCAGCACAAGGCCAAGCACGGCAGTGTCTAACTTCGGGCACATCGCCTCAAGGCCACTCAAAGCAGCTTCGGAGAGCGACACCACGGCCGAGTTGAAGAAGACAGCTTCCAGTGGCAATGTCGCTGCTCCCGCCATCACGATGAAGCCGGTAACAGGCCAAATCCACCAGTACATGCCTGGGGGCATACAAGCTCTCAACATAGCTCGACTAGATGTTGCACGTCCCCATATTAAGGTCGAGAACCTAGTCAACGAGTCAAAAATTAAGTAGAACCAAGGAAATCCGAGGCACTCATCATGCCCAGAAGGCGGCACCAAACACGCCATGTTCCAGCTGTGTGCGTCGACGTCTGCATATCGAGGTGCGCATCATCACGTGGCTGTTCCCCGATGGTATTCTTCGCGTCCTCCTCACAGTGCTCCTCGTGCTGCTGCTCTTGGTCGTTCTCCAACGGGTCCGAGTCCGAGTCTTGCTGGTCCTCCTTCTGCTCCGTCTTAGGCTGCTGGAGCTTTGCCATCTTGTAGTACTGCCCCTTCAGGTCCATCAATTGCTCGTGGCTGCCCTTCTCGCAGCAGTAACCATCTTTGAGGACGTAGATGGCATCCGAGCCCTTTATTGTTGTCAACCTGTGAGCAACAGAAATGGTGGTGATGTTGCGGCCCATGATGGTGTTCGCAGAGTCGATCGTAGCCTGCACCATGCGCTCAGACTCATTGTCCAAAGCTGAGGTTGCCTCATCCAGGAGCAAGACCTGGGGATCCTTTGCGAGGGCGCGAGCAATGGCAACGCGCTGCCGCTGCCCTCCTGACAGCAACCCCCCGCCTGTGCCTACAAAGGTGTCCATCCCGTCCGGGAGCTCATTCAACGTGTCATAAATCTGTGCAGCCTTAGCTGCCTGGACCGCCCTCTCGTCAGGGATGGAGTTGTCCAATCCCTTGAGGTTCTTCATGGCAGTCGCGGCGAAGAGGATGGGCTCCTGGCCGACATAGCCGAGAAGCTTGCGCCAGGCCTTGGCAGGCACCTGGCTCAAGTGGACTCCATTCACCAAGACCTCGCCAGCACTCGGATCATAGAACCGCTCCAAGAGCTGGATCGTCGTACTCTTGCCAGAGCCACTCTCTCCCACAAGCGCAACCTTTTGGCCCCTCTCGACCCGGAAGCTGAAACTGTTGAGAACCCACCTGGGTGTTGTCGGGTACCTAAAGCTCACCTTGCGGAACTCGATGCTGTGGACCTCGCTCAGCCCGATTGGGAGCTCCGCGTGCATACAGGGCGGTCCCTCAATCTCACGCTCTCTGCAGGCCATCACCTCCTTCATCGCCTTTGCGGAAGCGGCGGCTCTTGCCATCACAGGGGCGAATCCGCTGAAAGCGCTGAGCGCTGAAACGCCGACCATCATGGAGATCATGACGGTGATGATGCGGATGGGCTCGAAGCTGGCGTTTTCCGCAGACATGAGGATGTGGCCGCCGAACCAAAGCGCAAGCGCGTAGAGGCACGGGTAGAAGAAATTGAGGACCCCCCATGCAGCCCCGATCCTCGTCCCTGAGCGGATGCCACCAACTTTGGCGGGAAGCAGCTCTTTTTCGAAGCGAGCGACCTCGCTGGTCTCCCCGCCGAACGCCGCAACTGTCCGAATGGCCATCAATGACTCCTCCGCAACCGCAGAGGCCCGGGCAAAGTTGGCCTGCTGCAAGGCGGTGAAGAGCTCGATCTCCTTGCCCATGTGGTGACCAGCGAACATCAAGATGGGAAGTACGGCGCAAACGACTAGGGCCAGCTCCCAGCCTTCGTAAAGGGCCAGGGACAAGCCCGTCACAAACTGGGCCAAGGTTGAAATCAGGTACCCCAGCGCTGATGACATGAACAGGTACACATTTGTAGAGTCGCTCTCCAGCTGGGCTGCCACCCCTGCAGGTTCGTGCTCGTCGTACCAGCAAACCTTCGGGACCAACCCATGATCACAACGGAATAGACCCATGGACCTACCCGCTTTACCCTTCAGAGGTATGGAAAAGCATCCATGAAGCCCTACCCCTAGGAAATATGCACCCAAAACCCACACCAATCTGCACTTGACTAGGAACATCCAAGGACAGGAGCGCTTCAACGAAGCCGCGATGCCAGCGGTGGGCCTGCTTGGCGGCGGCCCAGGCCAAGCAGCTCTGCCAACCGAAAGCCAGGCAGAACTGGATAGCTCCCAAGGCGCCAATCTGCGCGAACCCACGAAGTGTAGGAGTTGTGATTGTGGGGTTCAGGGAGAGTTTAGGGCAGGGGCTCGACTTGCAGAGGCTCTTACTGTGATCCAAAGTCTCCCTCTTCTACGTGGGCTTTTTGGAGCCTTGATGAGCTCAGGCGTCATGGCATCCAACTCTCTCGCATGGTCTGCAAGCGCCAAGGTGGTGATGCTCTCCCCCATGAACAGTGCTATGGCTGGCGTTGCTACACCCTGCGCAGTGGCAAAAAGAACACCAAGTGCCAGCGCGATCTTTTCGCAACCCTTCAGCTGCCATTCCACCTTTTCGCGACTGCGTGCAGCTTGGTCTTTGTAGGGCTCGACACCTTCCTCCTCTGTCTTCCCAGTTTCAACATCACTCTTGACCGGCTTGACCGGCCTGCGGCCTAAGAGCACAGGCAGCTGATTCTCAATGGAGGACCGCTGCATCTTAGGGTGCGAAGAAACGGGAAGAGGACCTGGATGGTTCTCTCCTACAATCCCTGCAGCCAATGCCATGAGACAAAGCTCAGAGAGCGCTTTCAACATGACCGTGCACTGACTCACGCCGCATGACCGTGTGCACACACAAGCCGCAGGGCCAAAAGCACCCGAGACAAAGGATTTGCAGACTTGGCTCTCCGCCCCTGAAGTTGTTATCTTACACTTCATATGTGTCATCCAGGCCAATTCAAGCAACCTACGATAGAAGGCCGATTCCAGCTTAACCACGCCCCGTTGAGGCTAACGCCATCCATTGCGGACCCGAAGGTTTTGCATGTTCAAGGGTCTTTGGGGGGCTGGGCGGGTAAGAACGTGCATTCAAAGATGGCGACCTTGCCCATAACACGGGTATTGTTACAGTGCTTTTGCCAAGGATGTTTGACGTTTATGGAACAAGACGCGCGGCTACAAGCGTTCATGCCCTTGGCGAAGATGCCCAAAACATTGTATTTAGCATTTTTGCTTCACTATGCAACATATTATGGAACCGGGAGAGAGGTGTTGCTGGCTGAGCCACACAAGCACAGAACCAAAAAACAAAGATGCTTGCCTCTTCACCCAGAAGGGCTCGGAGAGCGTGGTCTGCCAGCACTGGCAAACCAGATCCTGCGCCACAGTAGACGTCACAGCGTGCGACAAAGCGCTTCATGGCGCTCTGCGACAATCATGAGGCGACAAGCCAGGAACGTCCTGTCGGCACCTCCTCGGGGAAGGATTCAGAGGCATCAGCCGTCACAGAGTATCGCTTAAAGTACGCAAGCGACAGAAAATGACACACAGGGGCGCCTCTGGAAGCTGCACGGCCAATGACGATCTGCGTAGCTGTGCCAAAGCGAACTCTGCTGGTTTTAGCCGCAGGACCCCCCCCCCCCCTTGCCTGTCTTCAGTCGCCTGAGCTGCTGCATCCTGCTTCGATGCCTCTGCAGGTCTAAGGGTCCTATAGGGTCATGTAGATGTCCCCAGGGAAACCCCCTCCAGGTCTGCTTAAGGAGCCTTGGAAGCCTGGGAGCTGCAGGCGTGGCTCCAGGACATGAAGCAGTCCACGAGGATCAGGCGGTCATCCTGCCGAACCACACCGGAGCGCAAAAAACACTAAAAAAGGCTCCAAAAAAGGCAAGAGGTGGCGCGCTCCTTCACTCCCAGGGCTACACAGGACGCCGACAGAAGCCTCTTCTTGTCAGCCTTTAAGGGGCAAGAATGCGAGGGCCCACATAGCTCAAGTAGGAGAATTACTTTTGAGTGCTGTCCAATCTCCGGACTCTCTCTTTGCCTCGGCTCTCTTGGCAGCAAGTGCACGATCTGCTTCGGCCTGCAGCCCGGGGGGCAATTCCGGAGCCCCGGGAAGGTGTATGTTCGGCAGAGAATGAAGACACATTGACTCACATTGACGACACGAGAGGCGTCCGCTGAGTCGCACAATGCGAGACCAGCAGCTCTCACATACTCTGAGCAGTGTACCGCATCCTCCTTTACTGGCACAGCAATTGCCGCGCCTTTTCAGCAGTCACCACCAGTACGATCATAGCTTCACTTGTCACATCCCTCTGCCTGCAGACCCGCTTAGTCCGCCAGTGGAGATAGCCTTGACGGCCTTTCAGTTCTCGCAGGAAAGCACGCGGAGACATTGCATGCGCTCCGCACCTCACTCAGCGCCCGCAGCTGCTCGAGGATGTCGCGGTCCACCTCGCGCACTCCTGGAGCCACTTGCACAGCTGCACTATGGATCTGAGGGCGCAGAGACAAGCATGAGCAAAAGAAAGGCCATGGAAAGAAGCTGATCCTCCTGGTGAAGGGCCCTGGGCTCCCTGTAACCGCCCTGCCTTCAGAGCGCATAAAACCGAACCATGGCAGGCTTGGGGGGACCGTGATCACTGCATATCTTCTTTCACTCTCACAGCGTGTCGCACCCAACCGTCAAGGGCCACCCTGTCAGAAGGCAGCCCTCTGTGATAGTCTTCGACTGTCACTGGGCGTGGGCGGCTTCTCCACACATTGAGAGGCTGGATCATGTGCTATGTACATCAGCTGCCGACCCGCATCTTGTTCTTAACGCGAACTCGTCAGCTTAGCCATTCTTTGATCTCAGCTTTAGCACGGCGATGCTCCTACCAAACAGCAGCCAGAAAATCCCGATGGATGCGCAGCTTCTTGTATGACGGCGCACGGTGACCACCCCGTGTCCTTGCACTTCTGGTTGTTGGCTTTGGCAGGCTTCTTCCTCAGAAGTCGAAGCGATGCTCGCCTTTTGTTCCGAGTCTTGGGGCTTGTGGCATGGCAAGGGCGATTTAGGCATGGACTTTTGCTGCTTCTGCAAGTTCGCTCGCGCCTGCACGAAGCACAAAGAAATGATAACCAGTATAAGCATGAGATCTATTTGATGCGGTCCCCATACAGCAAGAGTCTCCTTAAGACCTGACGGTAGCTGCAATTAGCCCTTGTTGCAGTCGTAACCCACCAAGCACAAGCATATTTGTAGAGAATCATACCATAAGCACCACAACAAGCACAATAATCATCATTTCCATGACTACCAAAATCTAAAGAGAACTTTGGCCTCTTTGGCTGTTTGGCGCTTGCGCACCCGTCGACCTGTGTCGACACCTGACTGCTGCAGTGATACAAAGCCATCTCCTAGGACTGAGCTGAGGGCTCGTAGGGTTCAGTGGCCGCCTGTTGTGCGACGTGTATCATGAACCCCCCATCAACAGGAGCCCCGAAAGAGAGCCTCATTTAGAACTCACACACACACACACATGGGCTGTACCTGCGGAAAGACACATGGGGCATGGGGCATACTAATTCTTCGCACTCGTGACAGTCCAAAGACCGACTTGGGCTACTATCACAGAGCCCTCGGCACTACCCGGCCATGTATTCAGCGAGGTTTAGCTGAGGAGGTATGACATCGCAATTGGAGTCGCGCGGCTGACTTGTCCCGGAGCTGCCTCCTCCTGGGACCAAGAGTATTTAAACCCTCAAGCTAGGAAAAAAAAACATGCTAAGCCTCCCCAAACACACAAATCTTAAAGAACATAGCACGCTGGAAGGCTGCGAAGCATCGAGCCCTGTCCTCGCTCTCCTCGCTGGCACTGCCTCCCTCATCGGCCCCGACGGCCACCCTGGCGCAAGTGTTGTGAAAATGTTGGGACGTTTTTCTGTGACGGTCGTGGCACGTGCAAACGAACAGGGCTTCTTAACGAGCGCAAGAGAAAACGAGCGCTCGAAAACTGGCACGTTCACTTCGTTCACTGCGTTCACGTGATCGCTAATAAGAAGAAAACGAAGTGAATGCAGGGAGCGCACGTGTCTACAATTGCGTACATGTGCATAGGACGTGTCTTACCATTGTTCCCGCAGTAGTTTCTCTCAGTCATCTAACATTCAGTTCATGTCCCACAATTAAACAATATTAAGAGCGTAACGAAGTGTGCGTCCTTTCACTCCTTACCTTCGTGTTTTTAATGGTGGGGGTTTTGCGTGAACGACTCTTGGTGTTTGGAGGAAAAACCAATGACAAGAGATTCCAAGAACTGCCAAAAGGTACCTTGAACAGGAGTAAGAGAGCACACATGACAGGCAAGAACTGTGCACACCCATGTTAATGTACGGATTGTTGTGGCGTGTTTGCGGCATGTTCGCCAAAAAGCATGAGCACTCTTAGCAGCGCATCTGGTTGCAGAAACATCAAACATACTCTTGCAAGATAATCTTTAAAAAAAGGCAAACACGCTGAACATTCCAGTGTTGCGGGCATGTTCGAGGCTTGTGACACTGTTTTGGGCATGGTTAGAGTAACGTGGCCTGCCCACCCCGCCACCCCCACCCCGGCCCCCCCAGCCCCCCAAAAAAAAATCCAGACATTTAAGAATGTGTTTCAAGCGAAAAGAACAAAAGTACAACGAGGATTTGCAGAGAAACTCGCTCAAAACTCGAACCCTAAACCCTAAACCCTGAACCCTAAACCCTAAATACCCTAAACCCTAGACTCTAGCATTGCAACCAGGCCACTCACCGGGAGCCCCTGGATCTGCCTCCTGGTCGGCCTCGCCTGCGAAGCTGCCCCGGTTTCTGGGGCTTCTTAACTTTAAGCGAGGGGGGTTCATGGGGGGGTAGGTACCCAGATTTTAGGGTTTAGGGTTTAGAGTTTAGGGTTTTAGGGTTTAGGATGAGGGTTGAGGGTTAGGGTTCTTAAGGGGGGTTCATGGGGGGGTAGGTACCTGGGGAACCGCAGGGTAGCTTAGGGAGCCTTAGGGAGCAGCAGGGAGTACCTCGGGTTACAGACCACCCTTGAACCCCCGCCCTTAAGAACCCGCTTCACCCTATGCTCCAGTCCACTGGGCCCTGCGTGTTCACAGATTCTGGGGCCAGCACTGGCCGCCAGCACCTGGAAAAAGCAAGGCTAGGAGCTGGAGAATGTAGAAAACAGGCCGCCTATTGCATGATCTTTGAATAAATCCCACTGCCAGGAGGAGATTTGTAGCCACAACGCTCCAGAAGTGTAGCCGGAGCTCCTAAGTCCTAGGTCCTAGAGCTCGAGATCTTTCCGCCAAGGCCATCCATGAGCAGGCCTCGTCCAGTTTGCAGTCCTGGTTGAACAAGATTTGGCAGGAAGACACTCTCACAACAGATTGGGCAGGTTCAAGATTAAGACTCCAAACGCGCGACACTCTTATACTGCAAGCCATCTCAACCCCTCACAAATCCCACAAAGCACGTCCTCTTCCAGGGCCTCTCTGCTTCCAGCAAGAAGATTTTGGAGGCCCTCCTAGGAGCTGTCTGCCCACCATGTCTGGGGTGTGGGGCATATCGGGGTTTCATAAATTAGGGGCACCTTATTAGGGTCCTTCGTATAAGGCGATCCTACTATTGGGGGTCTATTTTAGGGTCTGGGTTCTGGGTTTGAGGGTTGGGGGATGCTTGTAGGATGGATGCTCTGAAGGATTGGGGCCGGTTTGCGGGCATCAATTCCCCAATCCTCGCTGGCTCCCGGGCGGGCAGGCGGCTGGAACGTTGTGGCCTGTGGCCACCAGTCGTGTCGAATCATGCTGCCAGGCTGGAGAAAAAATCCCTAGCAGGCCTGCTTGCTTTCCGGGTGTCCCTCCTCTTCCTCCTCTTCCTCCTCTTCCTCGTCATCCTGAGCTCCCTCAGCACAAGCGCTTGGACGTTCCAATGGCACACTGAGCAGAGCAGAACTGCCCACAGGAAAGAAAGCACAAAAGAAAAGGGCGCCACAAGGACCATGACGATCGTAACCAAAATCAGAAACACCATAAGCTTCCTTCTATGAGATCCGACATAGCCCCTAGCCCAAGGTAGCCTATGTCCCACAATCGATCCCAACGACTCCGAAGGAAGAGCGTTAACAAGTCAAGAACCCCCAGCCCTAAACCCTAAAGGCCACAGCAACCCCAAGAATAGTACTAAACCCCCTATAAACCCGAAGCTAAACCCCAAAGCCCACAATCACCGCAAGGGAAGCTCTTTTTTGGCCGGTTGTGCCTCGGCTCCATCCTCGCGTTCAGCACGTCCTTGCTCGTGCGCGGCAACCTCGGGGGTCTGCAAACCGCCAAGGGGATGCTTTAGGGCATTTAGGGGTTGAGGGTGTAGATGCTTTAGGGTTTTAGGGGTTAAGGGTGTAGAGTTCAGGATTCAGGGTTCACGTTGACATGGGTTGAGGGTCTAGGGTTTACGGTTCGGGTTTGGCCGTAGCAAGGATGATTTTCGACAATAGTCTTTCAACGGCTGTTTTGAATTCCTCAAACAAGCTTCACCCAGGTGGAGGGGCTGCATGGTCACTTCGGTCTGGGGTTCCGGCAAGCAACGCGTCCTCCTCCGCCTTGAAGCCGGCAACCTTCATTCCCCCACCCCCTCCCACCCTTCCTTGATTCTGGGTCTAAAAATATTTAGGGATATTAGGGTTTGGGATCAGGTTTTTGAGTAAAAAAAGGCCTTGAGACCGCCAGACACCTCCTCCTCTCGCTCATCCTGCAAGGCCTCGAGTCACGCTCGCAGAAGGCTTAGAAGCCATGATCATGGCAGCGGCCTCCTGAAAAGTGGGCCACTCCTGCACCTTCGCGGGAGAGGATGTGTGTGGGAGGATGGGGGTGGAGGGTTTGGGGTTCCGGGAAGGGTATTTTGCAGAGCTTCCGGGCCTCGATGTTGAGCCGCTTTCGGAAGAACTCCACGATCTCAGCACCGCCCAAGCACACGGCTGCTGAAAGGATGCGGCACTCTCAACTTTGCCCGGGCATCAGGCAGATCGGACATCTCTGTCGAAGAATTCCTGCAGGACATTAAGATTATGGGATGTTGCCCAAAACACGCAGCATGTAACACATGGGCACCACGGATCCTCTGCATTCGGATGGCTGTTGTATACAATCTGGGGAAAGTCGATTAAGGTGATCTTCTCATCCTGCTCGTGGCACAAAGGACATGCCGTAACAAAGTTGTGCAGTAGCATGTCTCTCAAAGAGCCAGGCTTTGAAATGAAGACCTCATCCAGCATCAGGTTGAACTCGTTGAAATCGCCGTGGACGATGCCAGCTCTTAGCAACCTGCTCGTCTGATCAGCAGCCGCACTGCTCAGCTGCTCTCTCTGGACTGCTTCAATGAGCCTGACTACCAGCCGCATGAGCCGCTCCAGTACCTCAGCACAGGATTCAGGTCTCAAATGATCTCAACACACTGTTTTGGGGGTGGACCATGGTGGGCTATGGCGGACTATGGCAAGAAGATGCTGGAATCATGGAAACATGGTGGATCGGTGCCTGGTGTGGGTGCTGAAGCTGCCGCAGCTGGAAAAGAGGCTTTGCGTCGACCTGAGTAGAACTACAATCAGGCTGTGAGGCAAAGCTCCCTCAAGAGGGATTTGGGGGGCCCGTTATTTTCGTAGACCCCGATTTTCGGAAGGACTGGCACAGTAGCGGCCGAGGGCGTCACGAAAGACATCACCACAGCATGGCGATTCTGGTCGATGGGACCGGGCACGGGAAACCCTTCATCCTGGCAGGCACTGCCAGACTCTCTCAACTGAAGGCCCTTGACTTACTGTTGGTTAGCGGGGAATGAGGGAACTAGGGCCGCATGTATACCCTTTAAGGGATTACAGAATTAGGGTACCCCATTCCCCCATCCCCTACTAACCAGCAGGAAGTTGAAGGCGAAAGGCGACGAACGGAGGGTGCCTTCAGGGCTTTCATGTAAGCAAACTCCTTGGCCGCGGCCAGCTTGGCCATATACATCCACGATGCGTGGACCCGATGCCTCGGGCTTCTTGTGCAACCCCTAAACCCTAAACCCTAAACCCTAAACCCTACACCCTACACCCTACACCCTAAACCTCTTTCAAAGCCCTCCAACTCATCAATGCGAGGCCCTGGTTCCAGGCTACCCTGATTTCGACGATGGACTATGCTACTTGCGACGCACGAAGGCTCCCAAAACTCCAATGCATGCCAAGAAGAGGATAGGGAGTGCTTGAGGGTATCAGAGCTTTGGCATCCGACTTCTTCAAAGCATCACAGAAGGATCGTTTCTCCACTCAGGGCAAGTGGCCTCAAGTAGTCCCTTTTCTCCTTGATCGCGCGGAAGCTGATTCGACCTGGGCATCTGGAACATTGAGGCTACAGCTGCGGTGTCTCGGTCGTCACAATGGCCGGCATGGCGGCATCTAGAGTCTGTGGCCCCGACCGAGCCTGTGAAGCTTCAAAGCAACCAGCTCCCCATCGGGGCCCTGCAGGCTGAGAATGCAAAGCAGAGCAGGAAACCGATTCTCCAGGAGATCCCAAAGGGGGGGCCTGTGCGTAGTGTACATCTGACTCCTTCCCGACCTGGGCTGACGCCGCACTCCAAGCACACGAAACTCCAGGGTGCACCCCGAGCAGAACTCCATCCCGAGGCCATTGAACGGTCAGCTTTCATTACCAAAACCGAGGCTTTGCAAAACCAGGACAAGACGAGGATCAGCCAGTCACACGGCTCACATCTAGTAGCAGCATAGGGTCCCAGGCAAGTTGGGCATGTCATGACATGCCCGAAGGAGCACTGACACGAAGAGTCTTAGGAGTCGTAGAAACAGTCTTAAAGGAGTCTTCAACGAGTCTTCAGTAAGAAGACTTAGCGGAGTTCTTAAGGAGACTTAAAGGAGTCTTATAGGAGTCTGAAGAGTGCCGAGCGGCACCCAGCCTTCGGCCGACTGCAGTGAGGGCGCCCCGAGCCGCCAAGGCCCTCAGGGCCAGAAAGTCGTAGCCATGGTAGGTCAGCCGCCATCCATCGTAGCTCTGTCCTTAAGGACAAAGGTATGTGTGTACATTATGCATATATATATATATACATATCTGTGCATGCTGCATGATGCATGTATAGTATACATATTAAGATGCATATGTCTACAGGTTGCCCTTGGCTCGGGGTGCGGCCGTCGTGCGCGACCAGCCTGAAGCCCGCGAATTGAGCAAGCATCCATGATGACTCTACGCGCCGTCCCTGCTTCAGCTGGAACCGCTTGGCCGCAGGCTTGTTTCGGAGGAGATTCTGCAGAGTCTTGTAGCAGCTGCTCCGGTCTCGAGTTGGACACCGTTGAGCATCTCACCTAATCTCCCTTTTGATCGAAGAATCCCGAGGAGAGCGCTAATCCTCGCGATGCTCTCCACCAGAGGAGTCGGAACGTGCTCGTGGTTCCTGGCAATCACAAGTCAGATTCCCGTGTCTTCGTCAGTTCTCGGGTCAGGCACTGGCGTGCGCCTCATTCCCATCTCAACCGCTGTGAGAACTCTGAACTCCTCTTTCGTGATGTACCGGAACATCGTCACCTCGGCGACACAGTTCAAGGCACTCCAGTGTAATGTGAAAGCGACAACGGCAAAATCAAGCGTAAGAGCATTTGTTCAGCAGTAGTCCTGCCCCACCACATCAGAACACGAGCTTCGTGTAGGGTCAGAATAAGAAATAGACGCCAAAAAATAAGTACTGATTTGCACCCCCCCTCCAGTGGCCAAACTCAAAATTGTGTTTCATTCGAGCTCCACACCTCAACCCTAGCCACGCCATTCTCTGCACATCCTGCTCGCGACTGCCAAACGCTTCCGCGACCGCACCCCCACCCTCAAAAGAAGAAATGTTGTGCGGGTGGCGCGGGTACCTGTCCCCTTTACCATGTCCACCTTCGGAGTATGGAAAGACCCGCATAAACAACTGCAGCAAAAACGCAGCTTCTTGTCAACAAACTTGGCACGTGATCGGACACTCGAGGGCCTGAGGCACGGGCATCGAGCTTCATGGCTGCGAGCTCCAGAAAGGCTTTCCTGAGTCTGGCCTGAAAACCCAGGGTAACCCAGGCAGAAGATTCCCAGACTAGGCGGCTTTTGTTAGCCTGCCACCTGCTGTCCGTCCTGCAATACAACTTATGGTACAAACGCGCGGTCTGTTGTCATATGTTGTCACTGAGCCTATGCCAAAAACTCTTTCCTCATGCAGCTCAAAGATCCTCAAGGAGCTTCGAGCCAACCAGGCAGGGGATAAGTGTATGCCAGCAATGAATGGCTGCTTTGATCGCGACTCATGTTCAAGACTCCGGGGGCCTCGGACACTCGAGGAGACGGATCGATCCGCCTCCGGCTACCCGAAGCTCTGCCTACCATGCGCCCCGCGATCTACAAAGAGCCCGCGACGGCGTCTGCGTCAGGGCGGTCAGCGTAGACTCTCGTGGGCTCAGCCTCAAGCGTGGTCGTGTTGCATCGCAGGCATCGAGAGCTAATTGCTGCTCTCACTGGTGTTTCGAAGTTACGATGCAACGGACAGGTAGAACGACATGAGAGGGCTGACATGAATTCCAGGCGACACACAGACAGACACGAGAAGGCGCAGGAAGACAACAAAAGGCTTCAAGACTTGTGCACAGGCAGGTCGTTTGTCATGCATATCTGCAGCTGGAGGCACGGTCTGGATACCACCTCAACCCATCGCAGAAGAATGCCAGATGCTGCAGGAATGCACTTCAGCCTCCCAGAATCCTGAATCTTGGGGTGAAGCTGGGCCGCGAGCATCGGGTATGGCAGGCCGTGCCTGAGGCGGCTCGCCTCCAACTCTGCTTGTTCATTTCAAAGGGGGAAATCTAGTAGAATAATATAGTCTGGGTAGAAGAGCAGAAATGATGGTTCACGACGAGAGAGCGGCCTTGAAGCACAGCGCCAAGAACGGGATGGTTTCGGAGCCACGGCGTAAGGGGCGCGGCAGTGCGAGGCCTCAGCATGAGCGATGGTCGCAGATGGCGGAGTTTCTTCTGGATTCGCCCGCTTGCCGCAACTTGACTGGTTCAACGCCAGTACAACAGCAACCCAGGAATGGCACCCGGAGGGTGGGCAGGACTCCTGGCAGTCCTGGCCGTGCGAAACACGGTGGCATTGAGTCTCGTGCCCAGAGATCTGCAACTCTACTTCTGTCTCCTGTACATGTTGAGCGGGAAGAGGTGGCTCTACTTTCGCCTGGAAGTAGACTTGTGACTGTGTAGCCCACCACGGCACTTGCTCTTTCAAAGAGCCTTGTCGTGCGGCGGATCCGCAGTGGCCTGCACGAAATAAGTCTGCCTGCTAAGCTGCTGAGCACTCAACACCAATGACACCACCCCTCGCTGAGACCGAAACGTGCAACAGCATGTGTCCAGTCATCTGCAGGTTGTGCAGGTCCACTGCCTCGCGGAGGGTCGACATGGGCCCGGTCCGAACGAATCCCCGCAACAGACGCTGAGACGTCTGAGACGTTGGCTGTGGCTCGGAAACCGCGGCATGGCCACCCAGACACGACCTCAGCGCAGTGCTGCGCCCACATCAAGGATCCGTGATGCAAAGCAACAAAGCAACCCCCTTTTTGCAAATTTGGGTTTTTGGGAGACCGTGGGCCGTGCGGCATCTAGCCATGGTGGGCCTCGTGTGGAACAACAGGCCCTGAGCGCCAATTTGACCAGCAGCAGGGGGCCGCCTCTTCCTTTGTGCGCATCGTGCGCAGCCCCTTCCACCGAGCTGTCTGTGTAGGCCTGGCCTGACCAGGGTTTGCTTCCCAACTTCCTTGTGAGAGCCGTCATGAGCCATGGCGACAGATTGCGAGAGGGTCCTGGCGACGTAGCCGACGAGTCGCTTCCTGACCACAGCCACAGAAGGCAGGGCAAGCACGATGGACTCACAGGCTACATGTGAGGTCCAACGACCCTGGCCTGTTAGGGACTCGCATACGCTTGCGCCATCGGAAAGCCATGGCATCACTTTGTCTCTCAGCTGTTTTTTGTGTTGTGCAGGGTCATTCCTGGAATCACTTGGGGGCTTGCAGGGTGTTATTAATGGGGCTGTTTTGGCTTGGTTGCTGCCTGCCAGCTGCAGAAGCTAGAGCCCAAATTGCAGGATAGTGAAGGGGCAAGTTGTGAATGCGGAATGGTGTCTTGGCCCCTCCCGCCTTGAAACTTTCCGACTGTCAGGGAACCGGAATGCCTTCTGACTCCACTCATAGTTCAAGCAGACACCATGAAACCACCATCCACGAGGCATGATCGCTGCCATGGCGTTGGCCCTTTCGGGTGCCGGGAGTTCCTGCTAGTACCCGTGTGTCATGGCTTCAGGGGAAGTGAGGACAGCCCTGGCATAATGGAAGCCCTCGCTCAGGGCCCGCAACGACTGCTGGTTCAAAGAGCACTGGGCGCAACTTAGTACCACGGTGCACATTGGCTGCCCTTGGCAGTTGCTTGTGTCAAGCCCATTCTTTTCCACAATGTGCTTTGCGAACGCATCACTACGGCTCATTCGACCTTCTCGAGGTTCGCAGGCAGCCAGCAGCCCACAGATTTTGAGTTTGCTGCGCCTGCATAACTGTCATGGCGAGATCACACCGTTCAACTGTTGTGAGGTGTTTGTGAGGTGTGTTGCTGCGGTCATCTCATTTGCTGGCCTTTCCGGAGGCACACGCGGCCCTGCCGAGGTGTGCGAAGCAAAAGAAGAGTCAGGACCGTGTCAAGCCCGTGGCCTTCGTTGCTGATGTGTCTTCAGAGCAGACAACCTTGCGCACGGACAGGAAGAATACTCTCAGCAGTCTCTCTGTTGCACGGTCCCTCTGTTTGGAAGCCTAATTCTAAAGATCCGTTCCACAATAGGACAAGGAACCCCAAGAAGGGTTCATTATTTAAACAACGGCCCTCATGAAGAAAAGCACTCACGACGGTGGCCTGCGCGATTGTCCCACTGACCTTGGCCGGCCTGGATTGTGGCAAGAGGCCTGCAGCAAACTCAATCTGAGCGCAGCCGAGCGATGACACTACGTGCGAGTCGCACCGGCATCCCAACCTGCCTATGCCCAGCACTTCCTCAGCGACGCACTGGCCAGGAGAACCGGCCAAAAGCCGAAGACAGCACGCCCCCATTTGTGCCCATGGCTGGGACAGGGACTTCGGGAGACACACAAAAAAGACCTCTGCGGATGCCGAGGCGCGATGAGATGGCCAGTTTTGACCATTTTCACGATGCGCACCGTGTCGCCAAAGGCAAAGCCTGGAGGTGGCGGCACCTTGCCTGAAGCTCTCCATGCTGAGTTGCGGGGCCATGCGGGGAGCTTCTAGCGTTTCGACAAGGGACATGGGGTCCATAAAGGCAACTATAAGGCTGTGCTTGAGCATCTGAGTTGGTTCACAAGCACATCTTCTCTACCTGCGACCTGTCACACCGTCTTCTTGCAGGAAGGAGGCATGAAGGTGCCGTCGTGGTCTCAGCGGCGGGCTCGTTCTCCTCGTCCAACTCGCCTGAGATCGACTCTTTCGCCGCCCTTATGACAAGCACCGGCTGAAAAAGAGGCATGACATCATAAGAGTGGTCGCTGGACAAATTGGTAGTGACATCGCCACTTGTCTCCCGCACCACCACCAACAACCACCATGCCGTCGGGCAGTGGTGGGAGCAGCAACAGCAGCAGCAGCAGCAGCAGCAGCAGCAGCAGCAGCAGCAGTAGCAGCAGCAGCAGCAGCAAATCACAGCAGCACCTAAACAGTATGCCTGCTGACACGACGGAAGCACCGACATCACCAGTAACCAGAAGCTATCATGTGCTGAAGCGCTGCAAGGCAAGCTGACGCCGCCAACCCTGCGACTCAAAAACGAAAAATGTTCGATGCCGTCGGGCCGCCGGCCAAGCTCGTGTTCCTGGAAGCCGAATGAGGGTCAGATGTACATCTGAGGAGTTACTGTAGACTTTCGAATAGGGCCATCGCGCGCTTGCAACTCAACTGTTGGTCGACAATGGCACCAGCCAATATGCCAAAGCCCCACTTTGGACAAAGCTTGACCCCCTGAGCCCTGCACCTAAGCCCCTAAGTCTTTAGCGCTTCAGACCTCATCAGGTCGCCATCGGAGACGCAGCGGCATCCATCATTTTGGACCTCCAAAATGACTGAGAGGGCTTTAAGGCTTAGGCTTGTACCGGGCGCCAAGCTCCCAAAATCCTTCCTCCCAAAACCCTAGCTCCCTGAACCCTAATTCCCCGATCAGAAGCCTGTAAACCCTAGGCCACGTGGACCCCAAGCCCTCGCCGGTTGAGGGCTCTGGGGCAGAGGAGGCGTTTGGAACTTCCGAGGCCTCGCTGTGCTTGGGGTTAAACTTGCGCAGGCCGGACCTGGGCTTAGGGGGTCATGGAGCTTCACTTTCAGGGTTTTAGGGCTTAGAGAGGCTTTGATGTGGGTAGGGTTTCTAGGACCTCATGGTTAAAAGGGCTTATAGGGTTCCTTTGGATGTAGGGTCTTGGGGTTTGAAGAGTTTCATGTGGCTTCAGGGTTGAGGTTTAAAGGGCTTCATCTGGGTTTGGGGTGTAGGGATTCCTGGACCTGATGAAGGTTTCAGGTAAGTGGGGCTTGGGGCTTGTGGGGTTTCATCTACCATTTTTTGGGGTTTGGGGTACAGGGCCTATTGGAGGTTGTAGGTTGCGGGTTTGGGGCTTTGACTTGATTTGGGCTTTGAGGTTTGGGGCTGCAGGATTTGGGGCTACGCAGAGTTTGGGGTGTGGGGTTTGCGTGGCGGGTCTGAAGTTTCGGCTGAGGGCTGAGGGTTCAGGGTTGCATACGCAATGAAGGATCATTTAGGACATTCTCTACTCTGTAGTACGACTGCTCTGAAGATCTGACTGTTACATTCGGGCTCGCAGTGTTGGTGGAGCTTGGGCCCTCGGAGGCCCCAGGCTTGCACGGTTGCACTAGTACGAGTCCGAGCAGCTTCTTGCCGCAACCCAGTGACAGGTAGGACTCCTGCGCTGCATCTGCAAAAAAAACTCGGCTTTCTGATGCCCTCCTGAACCATCATAAGATGTCTACCAAGTCTGGCGAGTTTTTTTTTCATACTTCATGGCCTGAATACCTAAAAGCCCCTAAATCTCACTAAGGGGCTTCTTGAAGACTCAAGCTGAGAACACATGGCAGCTGCCTCGGCGCACTTGCAACCTCGAAAGAGTCCTTCACGCGGCACTGCCTCAGCTCGTAAACACCCGCTTTGGGCCTTCAGGATCACGTTTACGGCGGTTGGCTCAGGGGCTTTGGGTTTGGGGCTTTAAGTAGGGTAGTGCATGAAGTTTTAAAGCCTTTCCAGTTTTCTTGTCTTGGTGCGATTTGAATTTCTACCTTGTGTATCACTTACACAGCACTCAAGTTTCATATGTCTAACACATCATACAGTTGCTCACGAAGCTACATTGACGTTTGTGGAAACTGTTGGTTGGTGCAGCAAGCTTACGAGATCAAAATACTCATCAATTTCATTCTCATAATTCGCATCCCAACATGAAAATAAAGAATAATGAGAATATAAAACTCAGAATAGTAGAAATCATAAGAATATCAAACATTGGATGATAAAACACCTAAAAGTACTACTATTAATACACAGTATATTGCAAAAATATCATGCGAATACTTTATTCATGCATAGTAAACAAATAATATACGAACATAATCGTATACGAATATATCAATATAGTAAAATAAGAATATGTAAGAATGTAGTCATATGAGAAATACATATATATATATATGTATGCTGATATGAAAAAACAAGAATGTAAATACAACAATCTAGGAATGTGATAATATGAGCCTAAATGAATACATGGGGAGGGGTGGCGGCCGGGTAGCATGAAATCGCTCGCAAGCTGCTGCCAGTCCCTGTGGTGGAGTCGCCTGTGGAGGAACCAAGCTGAGGTCTTTGTACCGCGCACAGTCTGGTTTTAGGGTCGAGACACAGGTCACGCGTGATACAACATGAAGCCGCATGGACAGCCTCGTCAGGCTCCTCAGATCCTCTCGCCATTTTTTCACTCATCTCTCTGCTGACTTCCGCAATGCCAGACCTTTCCAGGTCATCGCGCCAAGAATGAAGGACACTTCTCGGAGGGAGCCGGAAAGCCGAAACCTCCTAAACCCTGAAAGAGCAAAAGGAGCAAGGCGGCTTCGGCAGAGTTTGCAGCTGCCGGGCTTAGACTTTTGTTGTGGACTTGCAGCGATTTATGGGTCAGCCTGGGCCCAGCAGCTTGCCTATGGTCGGGCCGGTATCTAGAGTGAAGAGGTTTCATAACTTTTGCGAGGGCTCTCGGTCTGCTCTTGCAACAGTGTCTTCCAGCCGTACTATTGTGACCACAGTACCACATATCATGTAGAATGAATCTAAACTTGCTTCCGGCGCCTGGAGTTGCGCTCGTGCATTCCCTGGACCTGGGGTAGAAAACTCACAACTCGACATACAGGGCCTTACAACGGAGATCCCCTTTTGTCCTCAATTCGTGGCCCGCACCCTGCAGCGGCAGTCGGGATGGATGCTGGACTTGCCATGCGCATCCACCTTTGCAAACACCCCAACAGCGCACACGAGTTTTGAGGAAGTCTCCAGACATTCTCATGTAGGGTCTTTTAGCGTTAAAAATCCTCATTTATAGGGTTTTTGGCTTGCTTAACGTTAAAAAACAACCCTAAGTCCCTAGGAGCGCTGACAGGAATCTTGCCCCAGGCCCCCCAGGCCTCGATGGGCAAGCGGGTGATGTCAAACTTCCGTTCCTGGGCTCTTCTCGATCAATATTATCAATATTCAATCACAAATATTTTTAATATTATGAATATTATTAATATTGTTACTATTATTAATATTATTAATATTATGAATATTGGGTTCCGAAGATCCCTCCGCGGCCTCTCCAAGTGCCGGCGAGCGGCGTCAGCTTGGTCCCCGCAACCCTCGGAGAGGACCGACACCTCTCCGGCGCACTTGCACCTGTGACCAAAGTCGCTTCCCCCGCATCATCTCCAACAATCGCATCTCTGGTTGCTCGAACATGTGGACCGAGCTTGGGAAAGCAGTCCATCATATGGAAACTATGTCGTGTGTGTCTACACACATCATCATCAGAAACCTCATCATCATGATCATCATCATCATCATCATCACCAGAAGCAGCAGCAGCGGCGTCATCATCATCGTCGTCGTCAACGCCATCCTCATCATCAGCAGCATCATCATAATCATCACCACGGCCGTGGTCGTCGTCATCATCATCACCACCGTCGTCGGCGTCATAGCCGTGCTGATGGTGGCGGTGGTTCTGGTGGTGAGAGTGGACGGTGATGGTGGCGAAGCAGCCCCCGCAACGTGGTTTAGAGCCGCTCCGAGTGCGCCCCGAGTGCGCTCCGAGCAAAGCCAGCCCCGAGTGGTTCAGAGCCGCCCCGAGTGCGCCCCGAGTGGTTCAAAGCCAGCCCCGAGTGGTTTGGAGCGCTCCCAGTGCGCCCCAAGTGGTTTGGCCCCGAGTGGTTTGGAGCCAGCCCTGAGTGGTTTGGAGCCAGCCCCGAGTGGTTTGGAGAAAGCCCCGAGTGGTTTGGAGCCAGCCCCGAGTGGTTTGGAGGAAGCGAGCCAGCGGTGGCAATGTCTTAGGTGTATCGGCTCAAGTGCTGCTGCTTGCGGTCGCTCCATCCCACCTCAAACCCTCAACATCCCCAAAGCCCAGAGGAAGCTGGGACCCCGAGCCGTGCCATGAAGTGAAAGCCCTCCCGGGATCGGGCGCCTCCAAGACATGGAGAGGTTCACGGGAGTCATATACTTGTGGGATTATGAACATGGTGGTTTCCGAAAATGGGGGTCGCTTGAAGGGGATTCTCTTCATGAACGGGGTACCCCTGTTTTGGGAAATACCCACATCGGGCCACCCTACCTTGTTCTGCCTATGTACGGCTTTTTTTTGTGGGCTGCAATTCTAACCCTACTTGTTGCGCTTCAGTCTTCGAGGTTGCCGGTGTGGGGGTTGTTGAGGGTTGATTCAGGTAGGCTTTGGGAATTGAGGGCTTGTAGGGTTGCGGGCCAATGGCGCGTGGCTGTCGTTAGGACTAGGGGTTTCAGAATTTCAGGGTCCTTTGTGGGGGGATTGGAATCCTACTCACACAAATGGCCCCTCAGTCAAACCCTCAAACCCTCAAACAACTAAGCCCCAAAACCCGCAATGAATTCTAAGTATCAACCCACCCCTCCCCCAAAACCCAAAACCCTAAACCCTAAACCCTAAACCCTAAACCCTAAACCCTAAACCCTAAACCCTAAACCCTAAACCTCCCGACCGAGGCAGCCTTTCACCATGCGACAGCCCAGCGAGCCAAGATCTCCCACATCGGTTCGCGTTCCGACGGATCGCACGCCTTCGCCTCCTGAGGATCTTGAGAGGTCAGGGCTCTCTTTGGGGGGCTTGTTTTGAGAGTTTAAGGGCTTGGGGCCTGTAAAGATCGAGCCTAGAGTTCGCGAGTTTTGACTGCCACTACTCGCAGAACCCCCGAGGTTGCCAAATGAGGGGTTTGGGGACTTTGGGTCGCCAAGCAGTCAGTTGGACTGTTCCAATGCGGTTAATTGGGTTCCGAAACAAGGGACCGTTTAGTAGCCCCTGGTTTCATGGCACACATGGACCCGTTCGGTACCCGAAGAAGCTGCCATGGACCCTCAACTTAAACAACCCCCCACATGTAGGAAAGGTGCCCCGACTCTCCCTGGTCTAACCTGCCTGGAGAGACGGCCAGGAGCAGCAACAGGCTGGCTCGGCCCCTCAGCTCGCCGTCATGTCGTTTGCCAAATTTCAAATGTTGCTTGCCGACCATCACGCTGAAATCTGAAAGCTAAGGCCTGGACAGTCTTGAGTGGCGGCCCCACATGCTGTACATGTTGTGAGCAAACTACGCTTGGCTTGAGGCGGGCCGGATGATGCAGCTTTCCGAAGAGAATTCACTGCAAGTCATCGCTCATTGCGTCCAGCAACGACAGCGGCCCATGACTGGAGAACACACGCTTTTCTGGTCTTCGCCCGGCTGCAGCGGTGCACGTCGCCCAACTGAGGCGCGCAGCGCACAGAAGTACCACCTGAAAGACTCGTTTAGCACTTCGGGCATCGGGTTAAGGATTCAGATCCCAGCGCTCATCCGAAGCCCAGGTGCTTTGGGATTCAGAGCAAACACTATCCTCGTGGGAAAAAGCCTCTTGGTGGTCTCGAACCAGGGCCCAGCTTTCCTACAGGACAAGCTCACTACAACCCGGGAGCCTCCGCGCTGCGGACATAGAGGTGCAGGAGGCCCGACAAGCAGAAGGAGCCCAGCAAGACAACCTGTGGAAGCTTCTGCTGCACTCTGCACGCCCTCCTCCCCTCTCTTTGGACAGAGTCTGGGTCTCAACTGAGCCCTGGGCTAGCAAGTCCATCCTCAATCGCAGGGCATCTTGGGGGCATCTTGGGCTTCCTCCACCACCCCAATTTTTTGGTGGGATTCCCCCCAAAAAGAAGCCAAGCCCCGCGCAGGAAGGCATCCCAGGAAAACTCGGCATGCCCGGGTCGCAGGAAGCCTTGCTGGGCGGCCCCCTAAATTTAACACATATGCTAATGAATTATCACATTGATAACAATAAATATTCAAGAATAAGATATATGAGTGAGAATAGCATCATTTGTGATTTGAGCAGTTTTTTTTTTCATTGTGTGGGGTGTTGTAATGGCATGGGTATCCTACGCGGGCCTACGCGTCAGCTCATGTTTAGTAGGCGCGCGACCTACGCGCGGAGTATGTTGTTGACGTGTGCCTACGCGGACCTACGCGGCAAGCACAGACAACCTACGCGGACCTACGCGCCCATACTGCATAGACTTGCCTACGCGGACCCTACGCAAACCTACGCCCTGCAGGCAAAATGCTACGCGGCCGACTTTCAATGATCGCGTCTCTACGTAGCCTTGCTCCTAGAAAAAAAACGCTGCTCATTTTAACATCGATAAACATGATAAAAGTATTGAAAATGAACATTCTTGTTCAACAATTATATTTACACCATTTTTATGACTAAATTTAATGAATGTATGATTAGAAAATATAAAATAAAAAAATTACGATGATGGCGAAGAACTGCAATGATTCTTTCTATGATGATAATGGATATAACCTTAAATGGGGCATAATTCATTTATCTCCATCGTTTAATTGGTCTATTTAGCTATTCATCATGTTTGACAAGAATCTTTTGGCATTTGGACTTGTTTTTGTTTTGGAATTTTGTTCAATCTCTATGGTCGCAGGTAAGTAAGTGATACATAATGCTTGTAGTTGACCGTTTTAAACCATCCTAACGATTTTGTAGTTTTTTCAAGAGGGCGCACAACGAGGTCAGGTTGAGTTCTTGGAGTTTAAGGGGCGCTTGCGGCTGTTTAAAGTAGCTTTAAAGGATTTCTGGGTGGCTCAGGGTAAGCCCAACACAAAGACCAAGCGACCCGAAGCCCAAAACGTTGAAGAGGGTTCGAGTTCTGGAAGCACGGTGGATCAGCTGAGAGTGGAACCGAAGACCAGTTCCAGTACCTGGAGATCCACCCCCCATCTGGGGTGGGATCAAAGCTTTTCAGGGCTTTGTCTCGTTTTAGAAAGGTTGCTTCGACGAACTGTGTGGGAAGTCTCGATAAAAGCTTACTCTGAGGGGTTCCTGCTGTGTGTTTGTTTGCACGCATGCGGTTGAAGCAGCGGCGCTGTGTGGAAAAGCAACTGTGATACCTTGAAGCATGCTTGCAGGCTCACGCGAACGTGCACCGCACAGACTCCGAAGCAAAGGCGATCAAGGGCGAAGAGCCTGAATATCTGCTGGCTTGCGAAACCTGGTGTACATGCCACTCACTGACAGCCACCAATGAGCGAAGCACCATCTGGGAGCAGGCGTACTTGAGCCACGGCCTCGAAATGTTAACAGTGCCGTCGCAAGATGCTACTTCAAAGCCAGAATCTGAGGTCGGAGCAGGTGCACATCGCAGCCAGGGACAAACCCAACCTGCGAAACACTCAAATATGTCAGGAGCCCAAAGGTGAGAAAGTCAGCTGAGGATCTCACACTAGGCGGCACAGCACGTACCACGGCAACCTCCAAACTTGGTGTGGTGCGCCTCGCACCTGCCAAAAATCACCAAGGACTGGCGGAGGCCCCGTCTCCGGCTCGCACCATCCAAGGATGACGATGTTGCTCCCGAGCTTCTATTTCTGTCTAAAATTTGTGTGAACACATGGGGTTGGCAAAGCCAGAGCGAAGCGTTGACTGGCCTTGGAGCTGTGTAGTACACATCCTCTACGTCACGAAACGATTCAAGTGAGATGTTCAGCGCAGTTCGCTACAGCTTTTGGAGAATTTTGAAGATGCATGTAGAAGGTCGGGCCTCTCCTAGCCTCCGAGGCTCAAAGCTGGATAAAAAGGTAGCTGAAGGTTCTAGATCATGAAGCTTCCCTAGCTTTCCCCTTGGCACGCTCTTGGAGCTGCCTTCCGTCGCCCTCCCATCCACCCATCCTCCGGCTGGTTCACAGTCTCGCGGACATTTTCGGAGCAAATACCCAGGAACGGTCACACAATCACATGTGGCGTAAGGCACAGAAGAATCACAGGTCAAACTGCCTCCATGGCAACAGCGACTGCAATGCCAGCCACGGACGCTCCAACCTGAATCCACATGGCTTCGGATGATCTAGGGTTTGGGGTTCAGGAATGCGTAGGATTAGAACAGAACTCTGAGCCCTGTGCCGGCAGTGCCAGGGTAGGAGCCCTCCTGCTTTCAGAGTTGCCAGGGCAAGCACCCCCCCCACACCCTACTATCTTTGCGATGCCCGAAGGTGTTAAGTTCTGAGCAAGCTATGTTGTAATTCCAGACAGCTTCGTGCAAAAGACCAGCGTGCAGACTTACCAAGAAACTGCGCAGTGCATCTGCGCATTTGCGAGCAGCCAGCTCTATGTCATGCGGCGCATGTATAATGAAAGAATTTGGCTAGCACGGAAATCGCGGACTGCCAAGGACGCGAATGGAACCTGACTCTGAGCGGCGTAGAGTTGTACCAGCATGTCCCGTAACGTATGCACATCGCACGAGATACACACGACGCGCGAGGTTCCGCGAGCCCGAGCGACAGCCTGCCTTGGGGCCACCTTGACGAACATTTCGACGAAGCCGAGGAGACTTGTTGCAACTCCCATCTTGCCATTCGTGGTTCGGGCTATTTCACAGAGTTTGCCGCGAGTTCCACGATCCCCGACACAGTGACTGAAACGGGCTGCGCATCCATTGCCAAGCCTGGTAGAGAACTGCCACAGGAGCACAGCAGCCACAACCACCTGAGGCCACGACTCGCCCTGAACCGGCTTATGATGCCCATGCCAGATTTTGTACCGATGACCATTGCTGATGCTGGGAGGTGTTGCTTCGGCCGCACTGCGACGTTGACACCAGAGCACGCAAGTTTCAGGAAGCCCCTCCATCAAAAGGCACTGAGGCATGGGCGTTGTCGCCTGGCCTCAAGGCAGCAAAGGCCAGGACTGATGATGGATCCTGTCCCAGAAAATAACATGTAAGATTGTAGAATAGTATGTACGTACTGATGTACCATAAAGATTGTGATATCTGTTGATAGTAGAATAGCATATAAGGTACGAATGATGTATTAAAATGGAGTGTAGAAGAATAACAAAGGTTCTCTCACATTGTAAGACAAAACCTGAATAACATGCATGAACTATAGCTAACAATACAAACCTGTAATATAGTACACCTCAATATTAGCATGTAAATAGTTAACATATTTTGAATCATATGCGTTGTATCGTATATCATCTATTTTATTTAGATCCTTGCTGCTGTGGTGCGTGGGCGGGGGGCTTGGGGGGGGGTTTGTTTTGAGGCTTCAAGCTGTTCTGTGGTGTGTGAGGGGGGGAACACCGCAAGAGGCGGCGGGGGCGGGGGCGCGCGCGCTCGCGCACGCCCGTCACTGCCAAGCGGTTCCAAGCATCTGGGCTATTGCCTGCGCTCCCCGCCTGTGCGCGCAGCCCCGTAAAATTGTATTCGGTTGTATTACATTAATGCTTGTATATAGTATGAACAATATAAAATGTGTACATATGTACCTATCTATATCTACATATATGAGTTTTTTCGATAATGGGCGGGGGGGGGGGGGGGGGGGGGCGACGGGTGTTGGGATCAGGGTATGTTTCGCGGGTATGTTTCGCGGCATCATGAGCTACTTTACCTGGTAGGTATGTTTCGGGGGTATGTTTCGGGGTCCGTGTGCCCTTCTTAAGCCTTGGGCCCCCCCAACATGGACAAACCCGTATGTTAAGGCCCCGACAGGTCCAAATAGGATGTGATGGGAGAAGGAACCTGATGCTCCGATGACGATACCCACTAAGGCTCCAACCAACATCATCTTCATTGGCACTTGATCCAGGTTTAGGGTTTAGGGTTTAGGGTTTAGGGTTTAGGGTTTAGGGTTTAGGGTTTAGGGTTTAGGGTTTAGGGTTTAGGGTTTAGGGTTTAGGGTTTAGGGTTTAGGGTTTAGGGTTTAGGATCCACTCTTGCTCAGCTGGGTTCCAGACACATGGGCCATCAATACGTCCATGTGCATCCAAGCACTCGTCTAAGGACCTGTTGTCAGACTTTCACCACATCTGATACTGATACATGCTGACACAATAAACAAGTAGCAAACATTTCTGGGCCAGGCTTCTTGGGCACCTCGTCACCATGCCACACCACAGCAGCAGCACCAAGCAGGCCTCTGCAGGGGAAAAATGGGGAGAAGATACTTCTGCCCCACGGTTCTTGTTCTAAGGCCCTGCACCGCCGACTGAAGGAAACGAAGAGGGCTTCCAAGACCTGGCCGAT